GGGAAACCCTGGGTTGTGTTCAGTAGAGAAAAAACGTTTTGAAACGGATAGGTAGCCACATTAGAAATATGATCGATCACGTTGGGCAGTGGTGTCAAACTCATTCCATGGAGGGCCTAGTGTCTGCGTTTTTCTTCTTCTTCTTCTTCTTCTTCTTCTTCTTCTTCTTCTTCTTCTTCTTCTTCTTCTTCTTCTTCTTCTTCTTCTTCTTCTTCTTTCAGACCTAGACAACCAGGTGAGGGTTGTCTACTGTACCAAGTTAGCTAGCTGAATAAACTAAGTTGGAGTCTGTTCCTAGAAAACATTGAACCGCTGTAGTTTACAACAATTAATTTCTAAAGTGGAAGTTGGGAGAGTTATATTTGAGTGTTTCAGTGACACGTAAGTGAGGGAGGCCCCGCTCTCTCGCTTTCCCAGATGTTTAGTTCATTTCATTCCGATCTCCTTAGCATTATTTTAGCCTTTTCTGTAGCCTGTCAACTATGTGTCTGTCTATCCCTGTTCTCTCCTCTCTGCACAGGCCATACAAACACTTCACACCGCGTGGCTGCTGCCACTCTAATCTGGTGGTCCCTGCGCGCACGACCCACATGGAGTTCCAGGTCTCCGGCAGCCTCTGGAACTGCCGTTCTGCTGGCAACAAGGCAGAGTTCATCTCAGCCTATGCTACCCTCCAGTCCCTCGACTTCTTGGCGCTGACGGAAACATGGATTACCACAGAAAACAGTGCTACTCCTACTGCTCTTTCCTCGTCTGATCATGTGTTCTCGCATACCCCAAGAGCATCTGGTCAGTGCGGCGGTGGCACAGGAATCCTCATCTCTCCCAAGTGGACATTCTCTCTTTTTCCCCTGACCCATCTGTCTATCTCCTCATTTGAATTCCATGCTGTCACTAGCCCATTCAAGCTTAACATCCTTGTCATTTATCGCCCTCCAGGTTCCCTTGGAGAGTTCATCAATGAGCTTGACGCCTTGATAAGTTCCTTTCCTGAGGATGGCTCACCCCTCACAGTTCTGGGCGACTTTAACCTCCCTACATCTGCCTTTGACTCATTTCTCTCTGCCTCCTTCTTTCCACTCCTTTCCTCTTTTGACCTCACCCTCTCACCGTCCCCCCCTACTCACAAGGCAGGCAATACACTTGACCTCATCTTTACTAGATGCTGTTCTTCTACTAATCTCACTGCAACTCCCCTCCAAGTCTCCGACCACTACTTTGTATCCTTTTCTCTCTCGCTCTCCTCCAACACTACTCACTCTGCCCCTACTCAGATGGTAATGTGCTGTCGCAACCTTCACTCTCTCTCTCCCGCTACTCTCTCCTCTTCCATCCTATCATCTCTTCCCTCTGCTAAATCCTTCTCCCTCCGATCTCCTGATTCTGCCTCCTCAATCCTCCTCTCCTCCCTTTCTGCATCTTTTGACTCTCTATGTCCCCTATCCTCCCGGCCGGCTCGGTCCTCCCCTCCTGCTCCGTGGCTTGACGACTCATTGCGAGCTCACAGAAGAGGGCTCCGGGCAGCCGAGCGAAAATGGAGGAAAACTAAACTCCCTGCGGACCTGTCATCTTTTCACTCCCTCCTCTCTACATTCTCTTCCTCTGTTTCTGCTGCTAAAGCCACTTTCTACCACTCTAAATTTCAAGCCTCTGCCTCTAACCCTAGGAAGCTCTTTGCCACCTTCTCCTCCCTGCTGAATCCTCCTCCTCCTCCTCCATCCTCCCTCTCTGTGGATGACTTCGTCAACCATTTTGAAAAGAAGGTTGACGACATCCGATCCTCATTTATTAAGTCAAATGACACCGCTGGTCCTGCTCACACTGCCCTACCTTATGCTTTGACTTCTTTTTCCCCTCTCTCTCCAGATGAAATCTTGCGACTTGTGACGGCCGGCCGCCCAACAACCTGCCCGCTTGACCCTATCCCCTCCGATCTTCTCCAGGCCATTTCCGGAGACCTTCTCCCTTACCTCACCTCGTTAATCAACTCATCCTTGACCGCTGGCCATGTCCCTTCCGTCTTCAAGAGAGCGAGAGTTGCACCCCTCCTCAAAAAACCTACACTCGATCCCTCCAATGTCAACAACTACAGACCAGTATCCCTTCTTTCTTTTCTCTCCAAAACTCTTGAGCGTGCCGTCTCTAGCCAACTCTCCTGCTATCTCTCTCAGAATGACCTTCTTGATCCAAATCAGTCAGGTTTCAAGACTGGTCATTCAACTGAGACTGCTCTTCTGTGTTACGGAGCAATCAATCAATCAGATTCCAAACTCTCCACCATGGCCAAGACCAAAGAGCTCTCCAAGGATGTCAGGGACAAGATTGTAGACCTACACAAGGCTGGAATGGGCTACAAGACCATCGCCAAGCAGCTTGGTGAGAAGGTGACAACAGTTGGTGCGATTATTCGCCAATGGAAGAAACACGAAAGAACTGTCAATCTCCCTCGGCCTGGGGATCCATGCAAGATCTCACCTCGTGGAGTTGCAATGATCATGAGAACAGTGAGGAATCAGCCCAGAACTACACGGGAGGATCTTCTCAAAGGTCTCAAGGCAGCTGGGACCATAGTCACCAAGAAAACAATTGGTAACACACTACGCCATGAAGGACTGAAATCCTGCAGCGCCCGCAAGGTCCCCCTGCTCAAGAAACCACATATACATGCCCGTCTGAAGTTTGCCAATGAACATCTGAATGATTCAGAGGAGAACTGGGTGAAAGTGATGTGGTCAGATGAGACCAAAATGGAGCTCTTTGGCATCAACTCAACTCGCCGTGTTTGGAGGAGGAGGAATGCTGCCTATGACCCCAAGAACACCATCCCCACCGTCAAACATGGAGGTGGAAACATTATGCTTTGGGGGTGTTTTTCTGCTAAGGGGACAGGACAACTTCACCGCATCAAAGGGACCATGGACGGGGCCATGTACCATCAAATCTTGGGTGAGAACCTCCTTCCCTAAGCCAGGGCATTGAAAATGGGTCGTGGATGGGTATTCCAGCATGACAATGACCCAAAACACACGGCCAAGGCAACAAAGGAGTGGCTCAAGAAGAAGCACATTAAGGTCCTGGAGTGGCCTAGCCAGTCTCCAGACCTTAATCCCATAGAAAATCTGTGGAGGGAGCTGAAGGTTCGAGTTGCCAACATCAGCCTCGAAACCTTAATGACTTGGAGAAGATCTGCAAAGAGGAGTGGGACAAAATCCCTCCTGAGATGTGTGCAAACCTGGTGGCCAACTACAAGAAACGTCTGACCTCTGTGATTGCCAACAAGGGTTTTGCCACCAAGTACTAAGTCATGTTTTGCAGAGGGGTCAAATACTTATTTCCCTCATTAAAATGCAAATCAATTTATAACATTTTTGACATGCGTTTTTCTGGATTTCTTTGTTGTTATTCTGTCTCTCACTGTTCAAATAAACCTACCATTACAATTATAGACTGATCATTTCTTTGTCAGTGGGCAAACGTACAAAATCAGCAGGGGATCAAATACTTTTTTTCCCTCACTGTATCCGCTGCCTTTGATACTGTGAACAATCAGATCCTCCTCTCCACCCTCTCCGAGTTGGGCATCTCCGGCGCTGCTCACTCTTGGATTGCGTCCTACCTGACAGGTCGCTCCTACCAGGTGGCGTTGCGAGAATCTGTCTCCGCACCACGTGTTCTCACCCCTGGTGTCCCCCAGGGCTTAGTTCTAGGCCCTCTCCTATTCTCTCTATACACCAAGTCACTTGGCTCTGTCATATCCTCACATGGTCTCTCCTATCATTACTACGCAGACGACACACAATTATTTTCTCCTTTCCCCCTTCTGATAACCAGGTGGCGAATCGCATCTCTGCATGTCTGGCAGACAAATCAGTGTGGATGTCGGATCACCACCTCAAGCTGAACCTCGGCAAGACGGAGCTGCTCTTCCTCCCGGGGAAGGACTGCCCACTCCATGATCTCGCCATCACGGTTGACAACTCCATTGTGTCCTCCTCCCAGAGTGCAAAGAACCTTGGCGTGACCCTGGACAACACCCTGTCGTTCTCCGATAACATCAAAGCGGTGACCCGATCCTGCAGGTTCATGCTCTACAACATTCGGAGAGTACGACCCTACCTTACACAGAAAGCGTCACAGGTCCTAATCCAGGCACTTGTCATCTCCCGTCTGGATTACTACAACTCGCTGTTGGCTGGGCTCCCTGCCTGTGCCATTAAACCCCTACAACTTATCCAGAATGCTGCAGCCCGTCTGGTGTTCAACCTTCCCAAGTTCTCTCATGTCACCCCGCACCTCCGCACACTCCACTGGCTTCCAGTTGAGGCTCGCATCTACTACAAGACCATGGTGCTTGCCTACGGAGCTGTGAGGGGAACGGCACCTCCTTACCTTCAGGCTCTGATCAGACCCTACACCCAAACGAGGGCACTACGTTCATCCACCTCTGGCCTGCTAGCCCCCCTACCTCTACAGAAGCACAGTTCCCGCTCAGCCCAGTCAAAGCTATTCGCTGCTCTGGAGACACTTGAAACCCTACCTCTTTAAGGAATACCTGGAATAGTATAAAAGTAATCCTTCTGCTTTCAAGGAATGAAATTACGTTTGAGGTTTTCAGCAAAATAGCCCCTACATGTCTCATCATTAGGCCATTTAAATGACCGAGGTCCATGAATAGAATAAAGAATACATTTATTATATTATTTTTTAGCATATGTATTGCAAATGCCTTTATTGTAGGCCACCAGATCCAGTCAGTGGAATTGTCTTTCTAAAGCAATACAAATATTAATCTGTAATAGTTTCTATAAGCATATCCATAGGATTCAGCACCGATTTTTCACATCAGGTTCTAATGCCAATTAAATTAGGCTACCCACGATTTAGGCCTATATAAAAACGTGTAATCGTAAAATAAACCGTAAACCGGTATAGTGTCATGCGCATCGTGTGTCCTTTCTCTTGGCTTTCTCTCTGTCTTTGTGTTATTTGCAAAGCACTATGGCAAATCGTCAATATCTTTCTTAGGCCAGCTGTCCTTCAAAGATTTGATGAAATAATTTATATCACTGCATATCTGATAAAAAAATCGGGATCCGAAAAGAAAAGGCTATCTGTCACGAGTTGGGGATGTCCTTTAAATGGAGCGGACAAATAAGACCAGTTGGCTTAGAAAAAATGGTCGGCCGAGAACAAATGATAAGGCTGTGCAGATGAGGTATATTAATAGGAAGGTTTGAGTGTCACAGTTTTTGCTCGTGAAGACGGGGGGCTTCGTGGCGAGTCGCCGGACAACTGACATTCTAGTTACGCGGTGATCATATACGATACATGCGGTAGCGTTATAAATCTTAAATCATGGACGTGTTGGGAGTCCTCAATTTGGGCGATGTTGCCCAAACTTTCTCAAAAATTGGAATGTTTCCAGTTTTTGATCTTGCTTATTACATCGTGTCCATACTCTACCTCAAATATGAACCAGGTAAGTGTTTTTTTTTATCCCTATAAATGCACGTTCAAAAAATAATATCAACAATGATTGTGAGGTTGAGAGTAGTTTATAATTATGTAGGCTATAGAATATAACACAGGTCAACATTGAAATAGATGGCTATATTGGCTAGGTTATACCCTATATGAGTTGTCAACCTCTGAAAAGTATAACACCTATAGATACATGCACCTATACAAGCAATACTTTGGCAACTTATAGGCCTACAATGGAAGCCACAATACACTTTTGGTAAATGAATGAAAATTGTATTTGTCCCATAAATAACATTGGCTTGGCTTATACCTTGAGGGAAGAATTAAGAAACCACAACAGGAGTGTAGTCCCGTGTAGCTCAGTTGGTAGGGCATGGCGTTTGCAACGCCAGGGTTGTGGGTTCGTTTCCTACGGGGGACCAGTATGAAAAAAAAAAATGTATGCACTCACTAACTGTAAGTCGCTCAGAGCGTCTGCTAAATGACTAAAATGTAAATATTAACCCAGTTTTCTTTAATACATCACATTTCCTAATATTTAACCCTTTAAACAGACAGGGTCTCTTGTATGAAATCTGATACCAAAGCTTTGGCCCTTATGCAATAAATAGAATGTCCTTAAATAGATGTCAGTGGGCTACACACTACATCAAGTCTCCACTGCTATAGAGTAAGCTTGTTCATAGACCTTTTTTAATGGTGCATGTTTGTAAGACCTCACTGACATTGTATTAGTCAGAAGTGAAACCTACAATACTCTATAATATTTTCAGCCGAGCCTCTTAGAAACAAAGAATATGGGCAAAAGCACTTATGTTGTCCATGTTTAATGAAATCCCAGCACTATTCCACCCTTCTGGATCTCCCTTGTTCACACACAGAACGGTAAACTGAATAAGGAATTGCACATAATAATTGTGAAATTACTTAGAAATATTTTATTATTTACTTTTTGACACCGTTTTATGTTTTATAAATAAATTATAGTGGCCTATAAAACCTTATGTTAAAATACTCTAATTCCCTACCTGGCCTCTTTAAATAAATGTTAGCCTAATTATGGGTTAGTAAAAACAGGTGGACATTTTTTCTCTCTCCAGTAATGGTTTTAAGAAGACTCATGAGTTCCTAGACCTAGACCTATGTAAACCAATCACTGAGTCACATGTTGGAAGTGATTCCCTGGTTCCCATGAATGAGTTTGGGGGCTGGGGGTGTTAAGGGTCAAAGTTAATGTCAGGCCTACCAGTTGCTTTGCGAGGCAGGAAAATAAATAGAGCAATGTGTATTTTTAGGCCACATTTCTAGGGATCAGTTTTCTGTCAAACAGCAGGCTAATCGCTCCTCCACCCAGAATCACACCTGTTCTTTTAGATCTTGACAGTTCTGGCGCCCAGTAGGGTGACTCACATATCCTGATTTACTCCACAATGTTGCAACGATCCATAGATGTTTCATTGTAGTATCTTTGGCCTTTTTAAATTACTTTGTGGTTTGTTTGGTTGTAGTGTAAGACTTGATTTCTCTTTCCTCATGACCAGTAACACTCAAGAGTAAAGTTAATTAATAAGTGAGTAATGGATGAGTTAAAGGATCAGAGACCTTCTCATGTGGTGTGTACTGCAACTTTACCCTTGAGTAACTCACTCAATGTTGGAAGTTGGTAGACATGTGATGTGGGGATGAGAGCTAAGGAAGAACCAACCAAAACAGAATTGTACACACACGTTAACACTTTATAATAACATTTAGCAGACGCCGTTATCCAGAGAGACTTAGTTAGTGCATTCATCACAGATAGCTAGGTGGGACAACCACATATCTCAATCCTAGTAAGTACTTTTTCCTCAATAAAGTAGCTATCAGCAAAGTCAGTGCTAGTATGTATGCACTCACTACTGTAATTCGCTCTGGAAAAGAGCGTCTGCTAAATGACCAAAACATTTTTTCAAAAATGTTTTTACGAAAGGCAAAACAAAATTGGCTGTGGGATTATTTAAGATACCCTTTGAAGAGGTAGGGTTTCAGATTTTTTCAGTAGATGGGCAGGGATTCTGCTGTCCTAGCTTCAGGGGGAAGCTGGTTCCACCATTGGGGTGCCAGGACAGAGAAGAGCTTGGACTGGGCTGAGCTGAGTGGTGGGCCAACATCCAAGCTGAGATATCTGCCAGGCACGCAGAGATGCGTGTCACCACCTGGGTGTCAGAAGAAAAGTAGTTGAATGTCATTCTCATAGCAATGATAGGAGAGACCATGTGAGGCTATGACTTGGTGTATAGAGGAGAGGACCTAGAACCGATCCCTGGGGGACACCAGTAGTGAGAGTACGTGGTGCAGACACAGATCCTCTCCACGTCACCTGGTAGGAGCGGCCTGCCAGGTAGGATGCAATCCAAGAGTGTGGAGAGCCTGAGACGCCCAGCCCTAAGAGGGCTGAGAGGAGGGTCTGATGGTTCACGGTGTCGAAAGCAGCGGATAGATCTAGAAGGATGAGAACAGAGGAGAAAGAGTCAGCTTTGGCAGTGGGGATAAGCCATAAAACAGTGATGAATAAGCATGAATAAACAATAAATAAACTATTAATAAATGTGTTCTTCATGCTTTACTAACATTTAGAAACATTTATAAGCATTATAAGCATTACAAATCATGAGTATTTATTACATTTCAAATAATTTATGAAGCGTTTATAAACATTTATAGGGATTAATAATGGATTATTTATGAGTTACTATAAAGTGTTACCGATGTCTGACTTTGTGTGAAGAAAATATCTAAATCCTTATTCTTCTACAGGGTCAGTGGAGGTGGCTCGCAAGAGCCCTGTGGCCTCTTGGCTTTGTGCCATGCTCTATTGCTTTGCGAGCTACATCTTAGCAGACGTTTTGCTCGGAGGTTGCCCCCTGGACTATTTTCAATACAACAGCCACGTTCTCCTAGCCTCCACTATTTGGTAAGATCTTTAAATGGTTAATGTTCTAATCTTCATCGTTGGTTTAGTTTTTGCTGAGAAACTGCAAAACCTTTGTCTGTATAGTGGCGCAGCGGTCTAAGGCATTGCATCTCAGTGCTTGAGGTGTCACTACAGACCCCCTGGTTCGATTCCAGGCTGTATCACAACCGGCCGTGATTGGGAGTCCCATAGGGCGGCGCACAATTGGCCCAGCGTCGTCCGGGTTTGGCCGGTGTAGGCCGTCATTGTAAATAAGAATTTGTTCTTAACTGACTTGCCTAGTAAAATAAAATATGCCTAGGATTGTTGAAATAGATTAAATTTGATAGGAATTATTTAGAAATTATTTTTGAAACGTTGTTGTCAAGTAACCAAACCACCACCACAACATTAAAGATGTCCTTTTTTGTTTCTCTCTTGTTCACTGAAATGTAACAACAGGTACCTCATCTTTTTCTGCCCATTTAACCTGTTCTACAAATGTGTGGCTTTCCTGCCTGTAAAGCTTGTGCTGGTAGCCTTAAAGGAGGTTGTCCGCGCTCGTAAAATTGCAGCTGGCGTGCACCATGCCCATCATGCCTACCATAACGGCTTCCTCATCATGGTAATCATCGGCTACGTCAAAGGTTGGTGTCTCCCTGTGTGTTCATTTTGTAGGGGGAGGAAGGAAAAATGAAGATTAGACCAGTGAAGCGAGATACAGACCTTTGTCCTAATTATTTGTACTTTCTATTTATATCCTCTCAGGGTCCGGAGTGGCTCTCATTTCCAATTTTGAGCAACTGCTTCGTGGTGTGTGGTGCCCCGACACCAATGAAATCCTCAACATGTCATTGTGAGTTGGTTTCCCTCACGGCTCTGTGGTTTATGTCAGCCGCCAACATTTGTCGCTGCCTCCTCTCATGAGAGATTTATTTGAGATATCTGGTTGTTAGTAACCTAAGCCGTTTCATGGGGGCTCAGGGGGTCCCAGCTCTAGTTTTTGAAGATTTTTTTTTCTATTACAGCAAATAATCTGATATTGATATTTACATCTATAACTCCTGAAGTTATCAGGTATTTACACAACTTGATTTGAAGGCTATCTATAATATATAAAATATTTGGAATTTGGGCTGGACTATCCCTCTTAAAGCTGCCAAATGGATAATAATGGATAGTTTTTTTAATCAAGAGACGGTGTGACTTTGTCTGATTTTCATAAAATGTTTCCCTCTCCAGCCCTACTAAAGCTAGTCTGTATGGAGCCATTCTGTTTACACTTCAGGAGGCACACTTGCTTCCCGTGTCCAAGAGCACCCTCATCTGTCTTTTCACTCTGTTCATGGCTACTACCAAGGTAGGTCCTGAAGTCCATACTAGTGAGTGAACAGGGATTGGGGCAAATATGCTTTAACTCAATAAGTTGTGTAAATGAATGAACAAAAATCCTTCTGGAAAATAATTGACATTTTCCAATTCATGGATTCAATGTACAGTTAACTGCCAAGACAAAAGAAACACCAACATAAAGTGTCTTAATAGGGCGTTGGGCTACCACAAGCCAGAACAGTTTCACTGCACCTTGGCATAAATGGGTTAGCTGACAACGTCACGAAAACGATGTGCGTGCTTCCATGGGGCAGAAGTCAGCGTGTTGTGTTGTTGTGATTCTGGATGACCAGATTGCTAGCAAGAATGACAAGAAACTGTCATGTGGGGAATCGTAAGTGGCTCGTTTCAGCTCCTTTCATCTTGTTTTTGATACCATGTCTTGTTTTGAGGTGTATTAACTGATTTATTTAATGTCAGTGCTAATATGGCAAAAAAAAAAATCGCTAGATGGCTAGCTAACCAACAACTCTAACAATGTATTTAAGAGACAACAAGTGTTCATTGTGCAAACTTATTTATGTTTTCAATAAACATTGAAGACGAAATTTAGCTTACATGTTGTCAGCAATCTAAGCCAACCCCGTCTGTTTTGCCCCATATTTGCACACGCGTCGGTTTTGTTGCTAAACAACCAACCCCTCTATAGATTCTATAAGTGTCTGGAACTCTATTGGAGTGATGCCACACCATTCTTCCATGAGAAAAATTCCATTTTTTAAAATTATTTTTTATGGTGGTGGAAAATGCTGTCTCAGGCACCGCTCCAGAATCTCTATGGTGACTGAAACGGCCATGGCATATGGTTTACATCGTGACCACTTGTGCCCTGTGGATGGGGGCATTGTCATCCTATGGGGGCATAGCCATGGTAGCCAAAATAATGGCTTAACCAGCATTTTTATACATGACCCTAAGCATCATGGGATGTTAATTGCTTAATTAACTCACGAACCACACCTGTGTGGAAGCACCTGCTTTCAATATACTTTGTATCCCTCATTTGCTCCCTTATATATGTCTCTATAAGCTTGGCACATCTAACCACTGGGATTTTTGCCCATTCTTCAAGGCAAAACTGCTCCAGCTCCTTCAAGTTGGATGGGTTCCGCTGGTGTACAGCAATCTTTAAGTCATACCACAGATTCTCAATTGGATTGAGGTCTGGGCTTTGACTAGGCCATTCCAATACATTTAAATGTTTCCCCTTAAACCACTTGAGTGTTGCTTTAGCAGTATGCTTAGGGTCATTGTCCTGCTGGAAGGTGAACCTCTGTCCCAGTCTCAAATCTCTGGAAGACTGAAACAGGTTTCCCTCAAGAATTTAATAATAATATTCCATGTATTTAGCAACATCCATCATTCCTTCAATTCTGACCAGTTTCCCAGTCCCTGCCGATGAAAAACATCCCCACAGCATGATGCTGCCACCACCATGCTTCACTGTGGGGATGGTGTTCTCGGGGTGATGAGAGGTGTTGGGTTTGCGCCAGACATAGCGTTTTCCTTGATGGCCAAAAAGCTCAATTTTAGTCTCATCTGACCAGAGTACCTTCTTCCATATGTTTGGGGAGTCTCCCACATGCCTTTTGGCGAACACCAAACGCGTTTGCTTATTTATTTCTTTAAGCAATGGCATTTTTCTGGCCACTCTTCCGTAAAGCCCAGCTCTGTGGAGTGTACGGCTTAAAGTGGTCCTATGGACAGATACTCCATTCTACGCTGTGGAGCTTTGCAGCTCCTTCAGGGTTATCTTTGGTCTCTTTGTTGCCTCTCTGATTAATGCCCTCCTTGCCTGGTCCGTGAGTTTTGGTGGGCGGCCCTCTCTTGGCAGGTTTGTTGTGGTGCCATATTCTTTCCATTTTTTAATAATGGATTTAATGGTGCTCCGTGGGATGTTCAAAGTTTCTGATATTTTTTTATAACCCAACCCTGATCTGTACTTCTCCACAACTTTGTCCCTGACCTGTTTGGAGAGCTCCTTGGTCTTCATGGTGCCGCTTGCTTGGTGGTGCCCCTTGCTTAGTGCAGACTCTGGGGCCTTTCAGAACAGGTGTATATATATACTGAGATCATGTGACAGATTATGTGACACTTAGATTGCACACAGGTGGACTTTATTTAACTAATTATGTGACTTCTGAAGGTAATTGGTTGCACCAGATCTTATTTAGGGGCTTCATAGCAAAGGGGGTGAATACATATGCACGCACCACTTTTCCTTTATATTTATTTTGTATAATTTTTAAAAACAAGTTATTTCTTTCATTTCACTATTTTGTGTATGTCCATTACATGAAATCCAAATAAAAATCAATTTAAATTACAGGTTGTAATGCAACAAAATAGGAGAAACGCCAAGGGGTATGAATACTTTTGCAAGGCACTGTACCTGTATATTTGTATTCTGAACAGATTTTTCACCTCACTGAACAAAAATATAAATGCAACATGCAACAATTTCAAAGATTTTACTGAGTTCAGTTCATTTAAGGAAATCAGTCAATTGAAATAAATAAATTACGCCCTAAACTATGGATTTCACATGACAGGGAATAGAGATATGTATCTGTTGGTCACAGATGGGGCACTCTGTTCACAACGTTGACATCAGCAAACTGCTCGACCCACACCACACCATACACGCTGTCTGTCATCTGCCCGGTACAGTTGAAACCGGGATCTGTGAAGAGCACACTTCTCGAGCTTACCAGTGGTCATCGAAAGTGAGCATTAGCCCACTGAAGTTGGTTACGACGCCGACCTGCAGTCAGGTCAAGACCCTGGCGAGGACGACGAGCACACAGATGAGCTTGGTTTTTGACAGTTTGTGCAGAAATTCTTCGGTTGTGCAAACCAACAGTTTCATCAGCTGTCCAGGTGGCTGGTCTCAGACCATCCCGCAGGTGAAGAAGCCGGATGTGGAGGTCCTGGGCTGTCGTGGTTACACATGGTCTGCAGTTGTGAGGCCGATTGGACGTACTGCTAAATTCTCTAAAACGACGTTGGAGGCGGCTTATGGTAGAGAAATTAACATTAAATTATCTGGCAACGGTGGTGGACATTCCTGCAGTCAGCATGCCAATTGCACACTCCCTCAAAACATGAGATATCTGTGGAATTGTGTTGTGTGCCAAAACTGCACATTTTAGAGTGGCCTTTTATTGTCCCTAGCACAAGGTACACCTGTGTAATGATCATGCTGTTTAATCAGCTTCTTGATATGCTACACCTGTCAGGTGGATGGATTATCTTGGCAAAGGAGAAATGCTCACTAACAGGGATGTAAACAAATTTGTGCACAACATTTGAAAGAAATAAGCTTTTTGTGCATATGGAAAATTTCTGGGATCTTTTATTTCAGCTCAGGAAACATGAGACCAACACTTTACATGTTGCGTTTATATTTTTGTTCAGTATACTTACCTCTGACATCCTATTATCTGCTATTAGTATTAGCAATTAAACACAATTGATAGTGATCCTACTATATGGCAATTTGGTTGTCTCAACTAGAAATTACGCAAACTAAGCAAATATTTCCACACTGATGATTAGTATTTTTTTTAGGTGATCTTGACCGCCCGCCACTCTCACGGCTCTCCCTTCGTCCTCATCGAGTCTTGGGTGTGCCGCTTGCTCTTTGGCTCCCCTCTTGGAGATGGTGAGGAGGAGCACCACACCGCCCCTGCCCCAGCCCCCGTCGCCCCCGTCTCACCAGTCAAAACCAAGGAGGAGCTCGGCGAAGGCACCCGCAAGAGGAAGTCCAAGAAAGCCGAGTAGAACGCAAACTATTACACCAGTGAAGGGGGGAAAGGTCCCCCCGACAACTAACTGCATCTGATCTCCTCTCATAGTCCAGCCTTTTATTTAGACATGATGGAGTCTCCCATTCCTTGCTGGGGAAAGTGGCAGTTTGATGTTTACCAAATGAGCAAATGAGCAAGTCTATTGAAGCAAATTGTGCTTTCTATGACATATTACACAGTATGGAGATTCTGTAAATAGCTCACCGAAGTCAAGTCAAACACTTAAATCATCCTCCCAGCCCGTACATACAGAATAAACATATTTATTTATGTATTTATTTTTCATCCGTGAATATCTCTGTTACTGTGTGCAACAGCATGAGGATAACAGTGAACTGCAAGTTACTTGATTGTTTTAGGATGGGCTTTGTTACAATGCTTCTTGCTGTAAGCTATCAATGGTTTTGGTTTAAACCCTGTCAGACCTATTTCAGTAATGTAAAGAAATTGGATCAAAAGAACAATCTGACCCTAGATCAGACAACAGAATCAATCAGACAATACAACAGAACATGAAGTAAGTAATATAATGTGAAGAATACATGGCTGCTTTCTACAAAGAAAACAAGTGAAATGCATGTCCTTTATTAATAAAGGCAAGTCAGAATTCTTACGTGGTGACACTTTTTGATTAATTTGTTTAGTATATGACATTGTTATATGTTGTTAAAGGTTACCATAAAAATAATGTATGAGGTAGAAGAAAGCTGTGCATTCATATAGAAATATATATATTTTTAAATGTGCAACATCAAATTACAATCAATTTTGTTTGCAAAAGAGAGGATCTGACAGAGCTTAATAGTAAGGAATTATTTTATAAAATGTTGTTTTTATATTGAGACGTTAAAGATATCAATGAGGGCTAATTGCCACTGTACCCATATACAACACATTAAATAAAACAAGTGACCACGCAAAAAACAACAGAAATGCAGGTATTTAAGGAGAATGTCTCAATATACTTTTCCATGAAGAAATTGAATTTATTGAAAAGTGAGCAGTGTCATTACAAAAGTATCTTCAAGGGTTGTCATACTGAACTCAAAATGGTGTTGTAAGCTGAAGCTACGTCTGTGTTTTTTATTTATTTATTTATTATTTTTTTGGGGGGGGGGGAATGGATCAGCTTAATATTGCAGATAGATTGTATCTTCTATCAATGTAATTGTCTGCATCACTTCCAATCCCCCATGTTTTTTTTATTATATATATATTTTTATATATATACTCCCCTTTATTACTTTTCAACCCCACCATCCTTTCCCTACTTGGAGTAAATTAGTGAACAACAATGCCCAGGCCTCTACTTCCGGTCTATACTTACTATCTACACCTTATGGACAGAGTTAATTTTACAATAATTCTATTATATATATATATATATATATTTTTTTTTTATTGTAATTTTTTTTGCTCCTGAACATCTTCTACTCTCAACCTCTCCGATCATTTTCATGATGTCCATCCGGTTTGCTTCTATATGCCATATCTTTCTAACTGTGCTCTTTCCCAAAAGCTCCCAACATACAACCTATATACTTATTATGGACACAGTATGCTTACATTATTAGCTATCTTTGTTATTATTTGTTGTTATTTGTTATTAGTTATTTGTTATTACGTCTGTGTTTGTTTGCACTAGTCTCACTTCCTGTCCTTTGTAGTACCACTAATGAACCATCACTGATTAACTTTACAGAAGGTCACAACCTGGTCACAACCCCTGACCCCTGACCCTTACATACCTCACAGCAGTAGAAGAGATCACTGACCAAGAACAAGCATTCCCTTTATTTTCCCTCTTCATAGAAACGCTAGCTTATTTTGTATGCACCTCAGTCACATCTCATATACAGAAAACAATGCTATTTTTCAAGTGAAACCAAAAGTCAGCACAGAGAGCTATTGAGGACACAGAAAGATTCAGTGTATTCTCAGATTCGTCAGCCTGGCTCAAAGTTTAAATGCACAACTAGAGAAAAGTATTAACGTTTTTCCAGAGTTGGACTTGGACCATCAAAGGTGACTTGTAAGGGAACAAGTCATGCATCACCTTGTTTTTCCTGCCAACCTTCGAGTCCATGTCCAAAACACCCAAAGAAACATCAACATCTTTAGAAAGAGATGCCTTGAAGTCAACCCCATGCCTTCCCTTTTTATCTACCCTCTGACATAACAGTTTGTAGAGAGAGTCAAAGAGACAGTCAAATGTAGTGTAATTTTGTTTCCCTTCTGAGATCACCATCGAAGCATTCAAGCTAGTAGCGAAGACAGAAGTCAGGGCTTCTTGATTAGTTTTTCCAGTGAGGGACCAGGAGGAGGCTTCCCTCTCACCGAGGGTTAAGGAGGGAGCTAGGATAAATGTACTGGAAGTCATGAAAGCCAGTCAGAGTGCATGCACCACAAAGCCTCAGGGGTGCCTGCACTGGAATGCAACCAACATCTGTTGGTTCCATCACTGGCAAACAAAACATACAACACAAATCCATGCTTCCCATGCAATCAGTGGTAAATCAGGGTTCAAGCAAATACTGGAGTTGATCTGTGTCCCCCCTTTCTTTTAACAAAAGTTGTGATGTCCATGAGGTGTACCCAATAGACAACCTGATCAGAAAAAATACTCAACATTCAAATTCATAATAACTTAATAGATGATTGAAGACTTGAGGCATGGTCAGTTTCAGTTCATGCTGCTTATTGGTTTCTCTCTTAATGCTTTATTTATTTGATAAGCTGATAATTTAGTTGCTAAACTGATTAGGCCTACTAGCATGATGACATCATTATGATGGTCAGGTTGTATACTGGTCATGGTTAGGTTGTATACTGGTTGTAGTAACAAAGACCAGTTGGTTGTAACAGAGACCAGTTGGTTGTAACAGAGACCAGTTGGTTGTAACAGAGACCAGTTGGTTGTAACAGAGACCAGTTAGTTTTAACAGAGACCAGTTGGTTGTAACAGAGACCAGTTGGTTGTAACAGAGACCAGTTGGTTGTAACAGAGATCAGTTAGTTTTAACAGAGACCAGTTGGTTGTAACAGAGACCAGTTGGTTGTAACAGAGATCAGTTGGTTGTAACCGAGACCCGTTGGTTGTAACAGAGTAACAGAGACCAGTTGGTTGTAACAGAGACAAATTGGTTTTAAATGTCCTCACCCCAATCCGTCATTTTAAGATAGAGATATCGTTTTTTTGCATTGGATGTCTCAATCCACCGCATCCGCCTATGTCACACTTCCGCATCTGTGGTGAAAGGTGACAGAACTGGAGCAGTGTTTGTCAGACCATGAGACATCCCATAAATCGGTCTTCTCACAAAATCGTCTGTAGCGTCAGAATGGTTATGACCCCTCTATGGAAAGATGAGACTCTCACGAATACTATGGTGTTCTCTGTTCTGCTCTATGTCCCCCACAAGCGTCTTGGGACTCGTCTGAAGTCGGTACAGCCGATCTGCTAACTTTTGTCTGTAGCATCCGAAGAGTTTGGGCTACATACTAATATGACCCCTTTGTGGAAAGGTGAGACTGTCACGAACACATACATGTTTTGCTCTAGGATGCCCACAGGCTTTACAAGTCTCATCTGAAGGTCCCCCGGTACCTGTTGAAAAAAATGAATGGAAGTACACTATATACTGTATGGACACTGTTTAGTTCCAAAACTGTTTAGTGCCAAAATAATAACAAATGTTTCCTGATCTTTCTTATATCTCTGAGATATAGGACAGAGACTTCAGAACAAACTTCCTTTAGATTTTTTGGGGGGGACTATCTGTTGTTCCATGTAGTGAATCTGTTATTCAGTGTGTTTGTATGGGCCAACAGCACTAAGGCCAAATACAATTTTGTATCAAATAATTATTGGGAATATTGTTTTGATTCTTCAAGGGTCTTAAAATTCAAAATCAAATAGCAAAATTATCCTTTTGTGGACAGCTTCCAGGTTCTGGTTTCACAAGTTCTTTCATTTTAACTGTGGAAAAACAATACATACTGTGGCTTAGTAGGGCGGAAGTGATGTCACTCTAGGAGAGATGTATAAAAAGGCAGGCAGGAGAGGAGACAGATCCCACTCTATCTCAGCCTCTCCAAACCCTGCTGCAGGAGCCTTCTCTGGTCCTACTTGAAGACACGGGGCAGAATTTGGATAAAGGACCCAGTCGAACCACACCAGACTTCACACAGTGGCTCCAGACTTCGCATACCTTTACTTGTCTGTTGCCGTAGAGACGTCTAAGGGCAAATGAGAACATGCTGTGGATCCTGGTGTTGGTGATTTCTCTCAGTGTGAGCAGTGACCTAGTAGTTGGTCAGAGAGGTATGTCTATCATCACTTTAGTATCTGTAGTGAGAATAACTTTTACCAAATAGGGCTATCTTCTGTATACCCGCCATACCTTGTCACAACACAACTGATTGGCTGAAACGCATTAAGAAGGAAATAAATTCCACAAATTAACTTTTAAGAAGGCACACCTGTTAATTAAAATGTGTTCATGGTGACTACCTCATGAAGCTGGTTGAGAGAATGCCAAGATTGTGCAAAGCTGTCATCAAGGCAAAGGGTGGCTATTTGAAGAATCTCAAATATAAAATATATTTTGATTTGTTTACCACTTTTTTGGTTACTACATGATTCCATATGTGTTATTTCATAGTTTTGATGTCTTCACTATTATTCTACAATGTAGAAAATAGTAAAAATAAAGAAAAACCCTTGAATGAGTAGGTGTTCTAAAACTTCTGACCGGTACTGTACTTGTAGGTTTATAATAACTGTGTCATGAATAAGGCATTTATAAATGCTTCATTAATTATTATAAATGTTATGAATGCTTATGAATTGTTATGCTTATAAATGTTTCTAAATGTTAGTTATTATTTATAGTATATAAATTGTTGATTAATGCTTATTCTTGGAAGTTATTATAAAGTGTTACCAACTTCAGAGATAAAATCGTTTTGGGAGCCTATGATAAATGTAAAATTAATGAATTGTCAATGGCACGTAAAATCATATTAGTCTAAAATGCTAAGTTTATTTGATAATCATCCCAATTGAATGTAACTGTTTTCATTAAGCATATTCCTGAAATAGAATACAATTAATTAATTCAGCATTAATTTACTAAACTGAATTCGTAAGTCCTATCATCTTCATGGCCAATGGGCTGATTCATTCAGCAGCTTATGCTGTTGAGAAACTTGTCAGTCTGGCAATGTGACTAAATCACACTGGTAGTGTCATTGGTAGTGTTCACACCATTATTTCTGGAGCCTGTTTGCTTGGAATTCATTCAGAAAACATTTCAGATCCTAATGTGAAGACCACACTTCCTCTCCTCCATGCTCAAGAGACGTTGACACAATACAGATCCCTGAGGAGTTGGCCCAGGTCAATTGATATATCTAGTAGGTTTCTGTTGGAGCAGCACAACAGGCCCCACACACCAGGTTATCCCAGCATCCTATTCATCTGGGACACCTCTTCCTGGATGAGGCCCAGACCTCAGGGCCTGTAAATCTAACTTCCACAGGAGTCCATAATTAAGCCTTAAAGTGAGTGACCTTGCCATGATTCTTGCCAACAACTGTGAAACCAAACCACAGACTCCAGTATAGTATCTGCTCTGTTCTTTCCAAGCTCCTGTTCGATATCTTTCACATTGAAATGAGTGTGAAATTTTTTATAAATTCCTTATCGACCCATATTTGAGAAAAATTGGTTTTGCAGCGGTATGAAAAAGCATTTTGGCACAAACCCCATGACATGTAAGTCTCTGTGTTTGAGTATGCATGTGATTCAGGCCAATGGATAGTCTTGGAATGCCAGCTCTTGTGGCAGGGGGATAGTAGTGCAGAGGCAGAGAGCCCACTCAGGTAGTAAAGATGATGAATGGGGAGTGGACTATGTTGTTTTATAGAGGGACATCTGCATAGTGCATCCCCAACTCATTGCTCACTGACGACTTGAGTCCAACACAGATGTGCATCCAAAACAATGTCACAAGAAGAGGAATGAGGTACACTCTTAGAAAAAAAAGGGTTCTAAATTGTTTCTTCAGCTGTCCCCATAGGATAACCCTTTTTGGTTCTAGGCAGAACGGTTCTACCTAGAACCAAAAAATAATTATTCAAAGGGTTCTGCTATGTGAACAGCCGAAGAACCCTAATTAGGTTCTAAATAGCACTTTTTTTTCTAAGAGTGTATGAGCAGGAGCTTTGTGACGTGCCTAACATTCAGTTGCAACATGAGGAGGACTTTGGTGGGGTTGACATTAGTCTGAGCTGATCTTGGCATCCTATGATGGTAAAACCCCATTCACCTAAAATGTATATTCTTAGTGCCAACTGACTAGTTCTTTGACTTTGGTTGAAACTTAGTATACTGGAAAAGGATGTGGGAGTATGACTCAAAGATGATCTGTCCATTGCTAATGTGTCACTAATACAGTATTATGAAATATTTCATTTTCAGATGGAGAAATCATCAATCAGATCAAGGGAACGAATCAAGCTCTGGCTGAGATCAAAGAACTGCTGAAGCAACAGGTAAAGCCGCTGTTTGGACAAACAGGGCAACTCTCTGTGAGGATGTCAGGTTCAGTACATGGTCCCATACAGTATAATAATGTGAACTAATAGTGTCTTTGTACCTCCATGTAGATCCAAGAGATTGTGTTCCTGAAGAACACAGTGATGGAGTGTGAAGCCTGTGGTGAGTAGCCTAGGCCAGCCAGCAGAAATAGATATCCCAGTTGGATGGCAGTAAATACTGTGGTGGAGCAAGCTAGAGCTCTTTCAGGCACATAATACAGTTACTGTATTTTGAATAAATAAATTGGTCATTTAGCAGACGCTCTTATCCAGAGCGACTTACAGGAGCAATTAGGGTTAAGTGCCTTGCTCAAGGGCACATCGACAGATTTTTCACCTAGTCGGCTTAGGGATTAGAACCAGCGACCTTTCGGTTACTGGCACAACGCTCTTAACCACTAAGCTACCTGCCGCCCTATACAGTACATACATGAATAAGTACATAATTAATATATAACTATGTATACTTTCCACATAGTACATTACACCAATATATCAACAGCATGATTGCGATCTCAATTGTATGTAAATATGGTAAATGTATCATACCATTGGCTCTCATGTACTTTTGAATATATACAGTACATACATCAACATATTAATATTTAATGGAAAATGTAAACAAATGGAAAATGCTATTATTTTACCAGGTAAGTTGACTGAGAACAAATTCTCATTTACAGCAACGACCTGGGGAATAGTTACAGGGGAGAGGAGGTTGGATGAATGAGCCAATTTTGTTTATAACCTCCAGTAGATGGAGACATTGTACAGGAGAGCGCTACAATTCAGAACATTCATTCAAGTGGTCTACTCGGCTGATGAATTGGTGTATCACCCTCTTCCCCTCTAGGCATGCAAGGTCCCCCTCGCCCCTCCTGTGACCCTAACCCCTGCCACCCGGGGGTAAAGTGCATTGAAACAGCCGGGGGCATCAAGTGTGGCCCCTGCCCTGAGGGCATGGTGGGCAACGGTACCCACTGCATGGATGTGGATGAGGTAGGACACTTGAGCAAACCCCCCCCCCCCAAAATGTCACCTAGTATTCTGTAGTGGGCCTTGATTGAAATATGACCACGTACTCACAGTATGTGTTATTTAAGCAATAAGGCCCAAGGGGATGTGGTATATGGCCAATATACCACGGCTAAGGGCTGTTCCTTCGCACTACGCAATGCGGAGTGCCTGGATATAGCCCTTAGCCGTGGTATATTGGCCATATACCACCAACCCTCGAGGTGCCTTATTGCTATTATAAACTGGTTACCAACGTAATTAGAGCAGTAAAAATAAATGTTTTGTTATACCCGTGGAATACAGTCTGATGTACCATGGCTGTCAGCCAATCAGCATTCAGGGCTCAAACCCCCCCAGTTTATAATAATAATAATAATATGCCATTTAGCAGACGCTTTTATCCAAAGCGACTTACAGTCATGCGTGCATAATTTTTTTTGTGTATGTTTATAATGTGTATTACACAAGCTATTGTGTATGTTGGTTTTAAATCAACTGTTAAAGTGTCTGATTTCATGATATCTCAATGGCGAGTTCTAATACCTATTGAAGAGTCACATTTTGAACATGTTAATGCCCTCTCTCCCCTCTCCTGTGTAGTGTGTGGTGAAGCCTTGCCACGTGAGTGTGCGTTGCATAAACACGTCCCCAGGCTTCCGCTGTGGCCCCTGTCCAACTGGCTACACCGGCCCCCAGGTGCAGGGAGTAGGCCTCTCCTACACCACTAAAAACAAACAGGTAGCCATTTTGGCTCAAGCAAAAAGCTTATGAGCTTGGCATTGGCAACATGTAAGGTTTTGTTTGAAGATGGACGATATATGCATTAGGGCTTTCTTTTTTGTATTTTAATTCTACCCAGGTCTGCAAGGACATCAATGAGTGCGAAGGACCCAAGAATGGAGGTTGTGTGGAAAATTCCAACTGTGTAAACACACCTGTAGGTTTCAATTATAACCAGTAAATGCCACTCAAATACTATTTATTATTAGAAAATCCAGAAGTCTTTCCTCTGAGGTCTTGAGAAACGAAGTTTATAATGTGTTGGTTGTGTTTGTTGTTGTCAGGGCTCGTTTAGGTGTGGCCCCTGTAAGGCAGGCTATGTTGGGGATCAGCGCAAGGGCTGTAAGCCTGAGAGAGCGTGTGGTAATGGCCAGCCCAACCCCTGCCATGCCAGCGGAGAGTGCATTGTCCAACGAGATGGGAAAATAGAGTGTCAGGTAATGGGATACAATTATGTTGCAATGGATCAATGTCAATATGAATACAGTCAAAATGTATACTGCTCCTTTAATACATGTTGTCTATAGCTCTCTATTGATTCAGCTGATATGGAATTGAATGTTAATTCACATTCCATATACAGTACAGTCCATAACTCTGGCTTTATCCTGATTCACAGTGTGGGGTGGGATGGGCTGGCAATGGCTACTTCTGCGGCTCTGATATTGACATTGATGGCTTCCCTGATGAGAAACTGGAATGCACCGAGAGGAACTGTGCCAAGGTAATACACTTTTGTCTCCTTGAAAAGACTATGGAAATCCATGACTATACTATTTGGAACAGAAAGGAAAATAAAAAGTATAAAAACGAAGTCACTGTCATGTGCTTTATATAGGATAACTGTCTAACAGTACCCAACTCTGGCCAAGAGGACGCAGACAAGGATGGTATAGGAGACGCCTGCGATGAGGATGCAGATGGGGATGGAATCTTAAATACACAGGTTACTGGTCTCTCTCTCTTTCTCTCTCTCTCACACACACACACACACTGGCTGTTTTGCTGTGTCATGCTTACAAGCCTTTACACCCTATTTTGTATCTTAGTGTAAAGACAGGCTCTGATAAGACTCTGATGCCTCTTTGGTAGGACAACTGTGTGCTGGTACCAAATGTCAACCAAAGAAATGTGGACGAAGACGACTTTGGAGACGCCTGTGACAACTGCCGTATGATCAAAAACAACGACCAGAAAGACACTGATGTTGATAGACTGGGTGACGAATGTGACGAAGACATTGATGGCGACGGTAAGTATGCATGGACAGTATTTGACCGTGACAAGACGGATTCTGCCATTGCTGTAATACATGTCAGTTGACATATGACAAAGATAATCTTCCCTACTACAGGAATCCCCAATAACCTGGACAACTGCAAAAGGGTTCCCAATGCTGACCAGAAGGATCGAGATAGGGACAAAGTCGGAGATGCCTGTGACAGTTGCCCCTACGTTCGCAACCCTGACCAGGTCTGGTTTCTGATTTCCATGTTTGGCTGTACTTTTACACATTCTAGTCATTATAGTATGTTGTACATAACAGCGTAACAAACTTTTGTTTGTTTGAGTGATATTTATGTTTCCACAGTTGGATATGGACAACGACTTGATTGGAGACCCTTGTGACACCAATAAGGACAGGTATAGTAGTGTTACTAGCTTTCTTGCCACCTCCCTGCCTTTAACCATTCTAGACCTGTCCGTGTCGTTCCAATCTATTGGTACTCCATTACTAAAAACCTTCCAATTCTTATTTTATATGTTATGTAATGACTTTGGTTCAACACTTAAACTTTCAGAAACCCACAACAGTGAGAACAACAGTAAAATAGTATCCAATGCTGAATCCTACCCCAACTATCTTTCTACCATTCTCAGTGATGGTGACGGTCACCAGGACTCTCAGGACAACTGCCCTGCGGTCATCAACAGCGCCCAGCTGGACACGGACAAGGATGGCCTGGGGGACGAGTGTGACGATGACGATGACAATGATGGTATTCCTGACCTTCTTCCCCCGGGACCAGACAACTGTCGCCTCATCCCCAACCCCCTACAGGAGGACTCTGACGGTGAGTCTAGCACCTGTTTCAAAACAGTTCTCCAATATATCCGTGTCATGTTGACAGTAATGTTATCCTGTGTCTTCAAAGTCACATATTGCGTCGATCTCCTTGTTACAGGTGATGGAGTTGGGAATGTGTGTGAGAACGACTTTGACAATGACACCATCATTGACAGCATCGATGTGTGCCCAGAGAACGCTGAGGTCACTCTCACAGACTTCAGGGCCTACCAGACAGTGGTGCTGGACCCGGAGGGAGACGCACAGATAGACCCTAATTGGGTGGTGCTCGATCAGGTATTGATGCATGCATTACATCTCATCTAAATCAAAGGATGTAACAGTATATACAAATCAGTGCCAGGAGACATGTCAACTGCTTAAGTTCCATCATTTTCTCTGTTTCTCTTTCCACAGGGAAGAGAGATCGTCCAAACTATGAACAGTGACCCTGGACTGGCTGTTGGTAGGAGCAACAATCACGCCGTCTCACGTTGGATTCATTCAATAAACCGAGTTAGGTATGACCTTCTGAAACATACCCTGACCCAAACTCACGCCATTCCCTCAAGGTTACACGGCTTTCAACGGCGTTGACTTCGAAGGGACGTTCCATGTGAATACGGTAACGGACGACGACTATGCAGGCTTCATCTTTGGCTACCAGGACTCTTCCTCCTTCTATGTAGTGATGTGGAAACAGGTTGAGCAGATCTATTGGCAGGCCAATCCGTTCCGAGCTGTGGCAGAACCAGGGATCCAACTGAAGGTACAACAAAATCCTATATGCACATCCTATATATGACTAATCTAGTCATGTAGTAAAAGTCACATTCATATACAAATTCATGCAAACATACCACAACTCGGTCAATAGTCTGACCTACACATGACTCACCCTTTGTAGGTAATACTCATAGGGCCAGTTTCTTAGACCAAGATTAACTCTACTCCAGGACTAAATACCAGCTCAACATAGAATAGATACATTTTCCAGTTTCTCCCCCCTTGAGCTTAAGTATTAAAACACCTGCCCAGATCGATACATTGGAAGAGATCCACAGTTATGTAACATTGGTGCCTATGCAATTGTGTTGACGACTAGGCTGTGAAGTCCAACACGGGACCAGGGGAGAATCTACGTAACTCCCTGTGGCACACCGGAGACACCAGTGACCAGGTGAAGCTGCTGTGGAAAGACGCCCGCAACGTGGGTTGGAAGGACAAGACCTCCTACCGCTGGTTCTTGCAACACAGGCCCCAAGATGGCTACATCAGGTAGTAGGCTGCTATCAGACACAAGTCATAGGCGTTTGATGGCTTTTGGCGCAGTTTGCCATTTATGACATGACATTGTCCTTTGATAATATATTCAATTATAATTTGTGGCATTACTTGTATAACTGATTGAACTGACAACATTTTATAAGACCACATACTGATGAACTTGAACATGAAATTATTATCATGCATGTTTTCTCTTATCATATTATCCATATGGTATTCTTTACCACAATAGGTAAAGTTCTAACATAACTATTCTGGTTTGAGATGGTCTTACTTTGGCTGCATTTACACAGGCAGCCCAACTCTGATCTTTGCACAATTATTGGCAAAAGATCTGATCTGATTGGTCAAAAGACCAATCATTGGGCAAAAGATCAGAATTGGGCTGCCTGTGTAAACGCAGCCTTTGTCATATTTTGGTGTTCTTTACTGGTCTCCCTCTCTGCGTTTGTGTGTGTCATGTTCAGGGTGCGTTTCTATGAGGGTCCTCAGCTAGTGGCAGACACAGACATCATCATAGACACCACCATGAGAGGAGGCAGACTGGGTGTCTTTTGCTTCTCCCAGGAGAACATCATCTGGGCTAACCTACGCTACCGCTGCAATGGTGAGCAGCACACTAATGCCGACCCCCCCAACCCCCTTTAGAATACCCTTCTAACAAGCAGGAAGTAGAGGAGGAGAATGATGACCTCAGGGAATCAATTAGGGAATGATTGCCTAGCAGCATCCCGATAATATAATTCCTGTACTGAGAAATGGATGATACTGGTCTCTGGCTAAAGAGGAACTACATTGACTTATGTTTCTAGCCTGCTTCTATCCCTTCACATTAGCATGAAGTGATACTGTGGCTGCATTTATATAGACTCCATTTAAATTACCTCTTGGTACACATACAACTAGTTTGAGGCTTTAGAGAAACACGAGGCAATCAGCAGTTGAAACAATCAAGTGTTTTCCCCACCCTTTTCAGTAAAAAGCTGAGGGATGGGGCTGGAGAAATGTAACCACTCTCAAATTCATATACACCGCTATGGATGCAAGGACTGACTATCCATGATATCAACATTATAGTTTCAACCATGTTTTGAGGTTATGTGTTTACATTTACTTTGTTTATAAACAGAGTAAAACAGGCTTATATTTTGGGTTCTGATGCAGTACGATAGTTGAACTAAGCTTAAGCTATAAGTTATATTCTTTAAGAATCAATGGGTACATATCCTTAATTTATGAGTCCAAAAATGGATGTAGCAACTGCAGATTGCACCTTTAATTATATTGGTCCGTTGGTTTATTGGTATTGTATTAAAGACATTTGGATGTACTACAGACACCAACTAACTTACAATATGACTCATGTAGGTAGGCCTATTGCTATGCACAGATTCTATATTGACTTAACATCTCGCCCTCTCCCTTTAGATACAATCCCTGAGGACTTCGACTCATACCAAGCCCAACAGGTCCAGCTGCAGTTCTAACAGGGAATACACATCTGCCCAAACAAAGACTGGGAGGACATTCCATCTACAACCACATTCTGGAACGCATGGCTCCCAGATAAACAGTGCAGTGTTGTATCTGAAATGGCACCCTATCTCCTATATAGTGCACTACTTTGGACTAAAGACTATATAGGGAATAGGGTGCCATTTCAGACGTACCCAGTGAGATTTGACTCAGCAAAATGGAGGCTGACATATTGATCTCCACCAGCAATGACAGAGCATTTTCCTGTCTGAGATTCGCTCCCCAATAATTCCAGTTCTCGGGGGACTTTTTTGTCTACTACTAATCTGTCAACAATATAGAAATGTGAAAATAGATGTTTTGAATAATCAGGGTGTTGCCAGTAAATGTTTGTTACATTGTGAGGGAACCCTATAAAAAAAAAAAAACATTTGATATGCAGTAGATGACATGTGATCAATTATTACTGTTTAGAGTGCCCTAGGAATAAATGTTTAACCACACAACTGTTCTTATTCTTTAGCATATACTGAATATATAGGACTTACTTTTAAGTCAAAACTGTGAAGTCCTCCTACTACTAACTAGACCAAAACTGTGATGAAAAGTCCTCCTACCACTAACTAGACCAAAACCGTGAAAAGTCCTCCTACTACTAACTAGACCAAAACTGTGATGAAAAGTCCTCCTACTACTAACTAGACCAAAACTGTGATGAAAAGTCCTCCTACTACTAACTAGACCAAAACTGTGAAAAGTCCTCCTATTACTAACTAGACCAAAACTGTGATGAAAAGTCCTCCTACCACTAACTAGACCAAAACTGTGATGAAAAGTCCTCCTACCACTAACTAGACCAAAACCGTGAAAAGTCCTCCTATTACTAACTAGACCAAAACTGTGATGAAAAGTCATCCTACTACTAACTAGACCGAAACTGTGAAGCCATGAGCAACTGCTTTGAATGCTGATAAAGTTTGGGACTGAAATCACATACATGCACAGGTATTCCAAAAAATATTTTAAAAACACATACAGAAATAGAAATGACAAAATATAAATAACAGAACAAGGACAATATGATATATAGATAGTTCATTAGTCATGCATTTAGTAAACCTTGGTGAAAATGACTGTTTTAATTGATATCGAGACTATACACAGAAAAAAGATGCCTCCCACAATCAAGTTTCATCTTACAAATGGGTCACATACGTAGTTTCACATAGCAACAAAGAAATACTACATCTCAGAATATGATTTACAGCACAATGGTTAAATATGTGATACCCACTTAAAGCTGACCAAGAGATTCTCTTTACATTACTAATTGGAAATACTTGCCAAAAGTGTCATTTTAGGTTTTCCAACTTCAACTGTTCTAGAGACGGCAATTATATAGATTCATACTGATCCATTTAAAAAATATAAATCTTCCTTTCATTCACTTGAGTGAAAGTTCCTTTGCAATCGCTCAATGTTTACCTTATTAGTTGAGGGAATTTATGGTGACAGGTACTCAAGGCAGTGACAGTATACTTAGTGAGAATCAAGATAAATGCTCACCAATTCCCTCAAGGCTTAAATTCCTTTCATTCTCACTTCAGTCAGTTTATTTCAATAACTACTGTCAATACAGGAGTCCACATCACCTTATTTGATTTCCACTTCCCATGCATTTGCAGAGCAGTATGGTACATCTATCGACAAGTATACATTGAGTGCTATTCCTTTTTTAACATGATGGGAAAACAAGCTGCATTGGAATAAGCCCTTTCTGGTTTTGCATCCCAAAATAAGGAATACGCTTCCAAGTCACATTTGAAATTACCGGCTTTACAAAAAGAAGAGAATATACATTATATGCCATCTTCAAATCTTGGGTAAAACAGTCAGCATTGACAGAACAGTCACTGTTCACATTCACAAGGCAGGTGACCACAACTAATGTGCAAAAACAACAGAATAAAAACACATCCAATATAATAAACATATTTGTCAGTCACAGTAACTGATATCTGTTTAGAACTGATTTCAAACATGCCTCAATTTATGTTAGCTAGCTAGCTATCCATAGTTCATATGCATACTGCTGAAGTCAACATGATAGTGTTGAATCATTTTCAATTAACCCGCATCTGCAATAGGGACTGCTTATAACATTAGTCATGTCATGCAACTGACAGTAATCTCTCTTGACAGTCAAGTTCTACTGCCAATACAGAGTACAGTTGCAGTCAAATATATTGGCACTTTACAATTGAGTGCAATGGAGCAGAATGTTTTCTCTTTTCAAAATGGTTTGAATGGCAATTTTTAACCTGTAGGCACCTGCAATTTACCACAGGTGAGAAATTACACAGTAAAAGAGAATCACTTGCCTCCAAACAAATTAATTTGAATTTGGAATAATTCAGTCTACCAATTTCTTAACTTTGAAGTAAGAAATCTCAATTTCAGTTTCTCTCTTGGTCATGTGCAGTTGTAAATCAAACAAATACACGTGAAAACCAAGTTTTTTCAATTTCAACTTATTTTTGAAAAAATAGTGAACCGTGCCAAATTTGACCGCAACTGTAAGTGCCATATTTAAGTAGCTGGTGAAACAGTTTTTATTATTATCACTCTTACCAGGCCATTGAAGTGACAGTACACTCCAAAATATTTCAAAAAAGTGGTCTAATGTCAAGATGAGTCCATGACCCAAGCCATATGTTCTGTAGCTCCAGCTATTCAGTGTATGCCCCAATCTTAAAGGAATGGAAAAGATGCGCACCATCTTATTTCATCATGGTACCCTGTACCCATTTTTCCCTTTCAGTTCACACGTGTAGCTCAGTAATTTGGGTGGTTATTTAGACAAAAAGAAATATCAAACTAATTACAGTATGCATGCTATAATCACATCAACTATTGGGCTTTTATCCACATCCATCAATTTGATTTGATTATTTGAGGAGAACGTGACGATGTGAATTTCCAAGTTCAAGATATGAGTTAACCTGCAAGGAAGCCGGTTAGAGTTGGAGGACTTGTTGACATGGTTTTTAATTAGGCTAGAAAACCTTTTCTGTATCAGGAAATTCAAAGTTGATTCATAATTTGACAGAAATTAACTCATTAACCCGCTTTTTGAAATGGATTAATCTCAACAGACAAATTTGAGGTCTGAAATCTTGAGACAATCTTTGGAGTGAACTACCACTCTTGGCATCTGATGTGTTATGAAGATGGGATTCATAATAGGTTCACCTTACAGGAACAACTGCCAATTTAAACACACAGTGAAGAACTAGGTGCAAACGCAAGTAACAGCCAATTCAATTGAATAACAAGTGGATGGTGGTAAGAAAGACTAAAAGGAAAATGCTTTTGGCTTATGTCATTTGGTGAAACAGAAATTCCAAGACAATGTTTCACAAATACATTCTTATTTCAGCAAAGTGCTAGCATTATGCAGAAATGGCGGTAACACAGTCATCTGAAAAGTAAACCGTTTATGTGAATCATTAGGAACAACTGACACATGCATCAATTTTTGACTGGGTTTTTACTACATTGTAGAGCGTGATATAAATCAAACCTGCTTAGCAAATGAAGGCCTTTTTCTGAGGTTGACGTACATCATGCGGTAATTTTCTTTCAGCTATAGCCTATGTACAGGATATATCAGAATGCACATTTTGGAAAATGTTCGGACAAACAAAAATATTTAGCAGAGAATTAATGTGGATGGCACTGTAAAAAGTAGCATACTTGCGTATTGCCGTTTGGCTAAAATCTCTCTCTCTCACCCTCGACTTTTTCCACATTTTGCTAGGTTACAGCCTTATTCTAAAATTGATTAAATTGTCCCCCCTCCTCCTCTCTCAATCTACACACAATACCCTATGGTTCCATGTGGCTCTGTTGGTAGAGCAACTATTTGGGGAGTTTCTCCCATTCTTCTCTGCAGATCCTCTCAAGCTCTGTCAGGTTGGATGGGGAGCGTTGCTGCACAGCTATTTTCAGGTCTCTCCAGAGATGTTCGATCAGGTTCAAGTCCGGGCTCTGGCTGGGCCACTCAAGGACTTGTCCCGAAGCCACTCCTGCGTTGTCTTGGCTGTGTGCTTAGGGTCGTTGTCCTGTTGGAAGGTGAACCTTCGCCCCAGTCTGAGGTCCTGAACACTCTGGAGCAGGTTTTCATCAAGGATCTCTCTGTACTTTGCTCCGTTCATCTTTGCCTCGATCCTGACTAGTCTCCCAGTCCCTGCCGCTGAAAAACATCCCTACAGCATGATGCTGCCACAACCATGCTTCACCGTAGGGATGGTGCCAGGTTTCCTCCAGACGTGACTCTTGGCATTCAGGCCAAAGAGTTCAATCTTGGTTTCATCAGACCAGAGAATCTTGTTTCTCATGGTCTGATAGTCTTTAAGTGCCTTTTGGCAAACTCTAAGCGGGCTGTCATGTGCCTTTAACTGAGGAGTGGCTTCCGTCTGGCCACTCTACCATAAAGGCCTGATTGATGGAGTGCTGCAGAGATGGTTGTCCTTCTGAAAGGTTCTCCCATCTCCACAGAGGAACTTTAGAGCTGTCAGAGTGACCATCGGGTTCTTGGTCATCTCCTTGACCAAGGTCCTTCTCCCCCGATTGCTCAGTTTGTCCGGGCGACCAGCTCTAGGAAGAGTCTTGGTGGTTCCAAACTTCTTCCATTTAAGAATGATGGAGGCCACTGTGTTCTTGGGGACCTTCAATGCTGCAGAAATGTTTTGGTACCCTTCCCCAGACCTCTGCCTCGACACAATCCTGTCTCGGAGCTCTATGGACAATTCCTTCGACCTCATGGCTTGGTTTTTGCTCTGACATGCAATGTCAACTGTGGGACCTTATGTAGACAGTTGTGAGCCTTTCCTAATCATGTCCAATCAATTGAATTGACCACAGGTGGACTCCAATCAAGTTGTAGAAACATCTGAAGGATGATCAATGGAAACAGGATGCACCTGAGCTCAATTTCGAGTCTCATAGCAAAGGGTCTGAATACTTATGTAAATTTACATTTTTTGGTTTTAATACATTTGCTAAAATTTCTAAAAAACAGTTTTTGCTTTGTCATTATGGTGTATTGTGTGTAGATTGCTGAGGAAATTGTTTTTTTGAATCCATTTTAGAATAAGGCTGTAACGTAACAAAATGTGGAAAAAGGGGTCTGAAATCTTTGAAGGCACTGCATATAATAATCTATATTCTAGTAATGCAATGGTATGATCTAATTCCGAGTTGCATAATAATCACAAATATTTTAAGCTAAACAGTCTGAAGTAAACCAACTAATTATTTTTTGCTTATCATTAACATAACAGTTGGGGAAATATGCCTCTTCCCACATTGGGATTTAGGTAAGTAAAGTAACATTTACGTTTTCTGTATATACACAATTCACTGTACAATAGCAACATGATCACACATAGCTACAGTATAAAAACGTCAAAGGTTAAGTGGAAAAACAAAAGTTTTGATAGTGTTCTTTCCCAAACAAATAAATGGTTGACACTTAGATTCTGAGCCCATAGAAGGAAACATCCAATTTAGCCAAGTTGCTATTCACTTACTTCCATCTCGCTATATTAGTTTTCAAAACAGAAATGTCACAATATGAATCAGAGGGGAAGATAGAGTAAAGTAAAAAGTTAGAAGTATTTCAGCTCTACAAATTGGTGTATAGACAAAAGCGCTTTTGGGACTCATTTTGCTGTGTGCATAAAATGGAATGGTTCCGATATTTTTCTACCAGCCCTAGTCTGGAGGGAAGTACCAAATATAAATTATGATAAGTAACATTGTCATTTTATCATAACAATTGCCTACCAAAATCATTTTATCTGCCTTTGTAAGTTTCCCTTTAAGGAGAAGAAACCCTCCCCATATTTGCACTCTCCATCACAAATTTAAACCCAACATTTGCTTTTTTACAAAACATCCATAACTTGGCTAGAACGTGTACCAGTACAAAATACAGTACAGTGATTTGTCAAACTTTACACTACATAACCACAAATATCGTCACTGACTAGGAGTTAAAAATCCTCTCAAATACAAGAAAATGTTACGAGAAGTTAAGAAAATACACTGTCACATTAGTTACACTTAAAAACAGTATAATACTCAATATGTAAGGCAAAATCAGGTGATCTCACAGTGACAAGTTCAACAGGTTTCTGAGGAGTTTGTATCTTTCAGATTTTCAGGAGGCATTCAATCTGGATATACATTTTCAATGAGAAAAGGAGAAATATGGCCATCTAGTTTTGGGAATTTGCATTTGCTATGTTTACTTTGTCACATTTGTTAAGCTTATGAGCAGCTAAATATAAGCATCTGTTATATATGTTTTCATTAATTATGATAAACTTAAAAACAACAGAGCTGGCACAAGATGAAATCCAATGATTTCTGGCCCATGTAAGTGATAAAAACACTTACAATTGGAGATCCTATCCTATATTTTAAGAGGCCTTATCTGATTCTATCTAGCGAGATGTCGTAGCAACTGGCAACCGTATGAGCAAACATGGGGAGGATTTGTACTCCTTAAGTTTAACAGAGTAGCTTAATAAATACATAAATATGTAGGTTAAAAATGTATAAATAGATACATAAACGTAAGTGTAGTTTGTACAATACAGTTAGAGCAGAGCAATTTTGGCATCGAACTCAAACACATTTTGAAATGCAACATAAAAAAACATTCAACTGAATTAATAAATATTTCAATAAATAAACATACATTTAAACAGAACATAATCCAACACACGCATAACGCAAACATTAACATTTGGTTGTCATTCAAAATAAAGCTTTGAGTGTGAAGTATAAAGCTGTTATGGTTGGTAGGGAATGATAATTGTCAAAATAGGTATGGTGCAGCTCACCTTCCTAGTGACTTTTTGCTTTTTAAACACAAAATAATGTAGATTTGTAAAAAAATAAAAAATAATCAAATCAAAAGGAGATATACAATCTGTTCTCAACTGTGACACTGTAGGATATATGGTAAGTAATTATATATAGTTAACGCAGCAAGCTAGCAAAGCTTTGACCAACCAACAATCTCATTGGAAATGACAGCAATTCCATTCCTGACCCTAACAAGCCATTGCATGTCCTTCTCCACAATGGGTTTTGGTGGCACATAATTTCAAAGGACTTGAGGGTGAGTGCGAGGTTGAATAGCTGAATGGCCATGCAACTGCGTAGATGATTCACCCCTACCATGCCTGGTTTCCCTTTCTTCCCAGGGTTCTTTTTTTGTTGGCCACTGACAGTTTTCTGCATTACAGCCTATCCATCCTGAACGTGTCCTCAGTGGCAGTGTCGGCCAGAACCATGTCGGGGTCATTGAGCATGTGCAGTCCGTCCAGGGTGAGGGGGTCGATCTTCAGCTCATCCAATGGGAACTGAGAGTCCGCATCGAAGCTGACATCTCCAACGCCGGCCAGTGAGTTGGTTAACTCCTTAGAGAGGCTGGGTGGAGACTCTCCTGTCACTAAAACGCAACATTTAGGGAAACATTTGACATTTGTGAAATCAAAGCAGCTGCTAGATAATTACCAATATTATTTTAAATAACAGTCTTCACTCAAAGAATCTGTAACAAGAGAAACTAAATACAATTCATCTTACAAAACACATGTTTTCCTCATACTGGCCAACCTTCATAATTGACTCTAATCAAGCCAGGATGAATGAATAACTTGAATAGGTGTGTACAGTGCCAGACTAAGTGCTCTCTAATTGGCTCAGCTGCTGCTCGGTACCTGTGAGGATAATGTTGGGGATGTTGCCATGGCTACTGTAACCCAACGGCTGGGAGTGGTGCAGGCTGCTCCCTGTAAGGCCCATCATGGCTGCTTGTGTGTAGTTGAGGGTGGAGCACTGGTTGTACAGGCTATTGGAGCTGATCGGGTTCTCAATCATATTGAACTGCTCGAGCTAGGCAAGTGAAAAAAATTATAATAGGTCAAGTTAGGGAATAGAACACAGATCAGGCACAATTTGTAATATGTGGGGATATAGTGGCAGTGAAATTCATGGCCTAGTTTAGTGTGGGTTAAGTCACCTGGTGGGAGAGAGCGTTGGTCTGCCTTGATGCTAGCTGCTGGTCATAGAAAGAATCCCCAAATATACTGCCCACCACTGGAATGTGCTGAAAGAGACATTTTACATCTGATTAGAGCTTTTAAAAAATGGGTTATGGAAACTAATATACCTACAGTCAATGGGTAAAGCCTTTTCTTGGGTATCTGAGGGATATATAAGGGAACATTACAATCATGAGACGTCACAAAAAGCATGAGGCAATTTACAAGCCAGTCAATTCAAGCATCGTTAGGTAAATGGCTGTTCATGATGGCACAAACATCAGCATCTCATAACACTTTATTATGCCTATTCAGGCACAAAATTACCATAGACCACATGATTCATAAGAGCCACATCCACATAAATGTTTCAGCAGTAAGATTTGATCTGAACTCTAACATTATAACAATCCTGAGCAATAGGCCTTCGTTTAGAAAATAGAAATATCACAATTACCATCTTGTCATTTTTAGAGGGATTATATTGTAAGCTAGCAAAACAGTGCTTTAGCTAACGACAGCAAATAAATGCACATGACTTTGGCTAGCTACTGTAGCTAACTTGGTTTACTGTGGGGTGAAGTTAATTAGCTTCTGCAGTTTCTCTACTAGCAACTGAAATGCTGTTTCATGCCTTCAAAACTGACTTGCTCCAGTAATATTTACCATTTGATACATTTTGTGATGTATCCACTTTCTAAGCATATAATAAATTGCCAAAGTTTGATAATGTAACACACTAAACTTTGGCATTCAGTAACACAATAGAAAATAAAAAACAGCACAATAAGTTAGTGGAACATGTAGTATTTATAAAGCTACTTTCCCATGGAAGATTACATGTATTACAGCTAGCTACAGTAATGTAAAGGTAGGTTTAGATGGAATCAGACACTTTCACACGAAAAGCAGTGAACAGAACTAGAAAGAGTTCAAACCCATTTCTCAAACCTCTGACACTTAGTGTTATTTTTTGTAAAATATGCTGGAAACAAGGCTATGTAAACAGGAAACAATCAAAGCTGCTATAAAAAAGGGTTGGACTATCTAAAACTAAATCATATTTAAGGTTCTATGTAGGTGCTGCATATACACAGGACATACAATGAGTATACAAAACATTAAGGACACCTGCTCTTTCCATGACAGACTGACCAGGTGAAAGCTATGATCCCTTATTGATGTCACTTGTTAAATCCACTTCATATCAGGAGGAGACAGATTGAAGAAGGATTGTGTATGTGTGCCATTCAGAGGGAGAATGGGCAAGACAAAATATTTAAGTGCCTTTGAACTGGGTATAGTAGCAGGTGCCAGGCGCACCGGTTTGTATCAAGAACTGCAACGCTGCTGGATTTTCACGCTCAACAGTTTCCCGTGTGTATCAAGAATGGTCCACCACCCAAAGGACATCCAGCCAACTTGACACAACTGTGGGAAGCATAGGAGTCAACATGGGCCAGCATCCCTGTGGAAGGCTTTCGACACCTTGTAGAGTCCATGCCCCGATAAATTGAGGCTGTTCTGAGGGCAAAAAAAGGGGTGGGGGGGGGGGGGGGGGATGCAACTCAATATTAGGAAGGTCTTCTTGATGTTTTGTACACTCAATGTATATTGGGTTCAAGCAAAAACACAAAAAGCTGCTATGCGACAACACTCAAAGACCTGAGCCAATATGATAAGCAAACAGCGAGCAGTGGTCTGGAGGATAGGAGATGGGGGTGGGATTGCTGACACTATGGAGGGGAGCGAGAGGCTGGGATGAGTAGCAGCTGGACCAATTACAGCCAATTTTAGGCAAAAAACCCTCCAACAAAGCAGCTTGGTGGTTTCGCCCTTACTTGAGGCGAGCCGCCAGGGGAGAAGCCTTGATTGGAGACTGGGGAGGTTGGAGACTGATTGGCCGGAGAGCCAGTCTGATTGCGGTACTGTTGGAGGGAAGAGTGTTAACCGGTGCAGAGTTCCATAATACTAGCCACAGAGCACTCAGAGAGGGCCCAAGGAGAGTCTGAGTTGGGCTCTTACACCATCTAATCACAGACCAGTTCACTCCCCCAAAAACCATCAGCCATTGCTGAAGGGGACCAATGAACCAAACTTTGTTGGAGCTAGAATTTCACTGGGTATATACAGTCAAGGTATCGACAAGCAGGAAACTCAATCCAACAGAAGAAACTTGTGTAAAGAGACTACAGAGAGCTTAAACTGACACCGTTTTAACTACTTTGCAGATACTGTATGAAACAAACAGACAATCATATTAAATTCACCAACTTGTCATGACGTGACTCATTAATATGATGACTTATTTATCGAATAAACTAACTATGTTTATTGTTACACAACTAAATTCATCATGTAACAATTTGGGGCACCACGGAGGTAGTTGTTTATAGAGTTACCATCTCCCAAATTAAACTCTAAAAAGGTCTTTACCTATCAATACAGTGGGGAGAACAAGTATTTGATACACTGCCGATTTTGCAGGTTTTCCTACTTACAAAGCATGTAGAGGTCTGTAATTTTTATCATAGGTACACTTCAACTGTGAGAGACGGAATCTAAAACAATCCAGAAAATCACATTGTATGATTTTTAAGTAATTCATTTGCATTTTATTGCATGACATAAGTATTTGATACATCAGAAAAGCAGAACTTAATATTTGGTACAGAAACCTTTTTTTTGCAATTACAGAGATCATACGTTTCCTGGAGGTCTTGACCAGGTTTGCACACACTGCATTAGGGATTTTGGCCCACTCCTCCATACAGACCTTCTCCAGACCTCTACATGCTTTGTAAGTAGGAAAACCTGCAAAATCGGCAGTGTATCAAATACTTGTTCTCCCCACTGTATAACATGATTATTCTTTAGGTCCCCACTGACCATTCCCCACATTCTGATGTTGGAAATATTGTTCCAGTGTCTACTTTTTGGACGTTATAATTTTGGCGGCAAAAGTATTCTGGAGACAAAGGGACATTCCAATCAATACTGGAAAGCAAGAAAGAGATTCCCCTACTGCCTAAGTTACGGCCGACCCCCCCCTTCCCCTCTTCTTTGGGTGAGAGTGGGTCTGGTTGTCATCAGCCATTGCCAAGCTGATCTGAGGCCTTGGATCCTCACCCAGGAGAGTCATGACAAACTTCATAAGAGGTTTTAATTTGACTCAAAATTCCATTGCTTATAGTCAGACATTCTTGGCAGAATAGATTAATGCCCCAATACATTGCTTGGTAGTCTACTAAATATTGCTATTAGGTTGTAAATCACAGCTGGCATGCTACATTATTTGCTGCCTCCTGCCATTCGGTTGGCACGCACTTAATATTTTGGACAAAAACATACAAAAATAAGGCTGGGAATCTCAACGCCATCAAACTAGGAAAGGCAATGATCACAAGTCATAACGTGGCTAATAGGCTAGCTAGCTTATCTAATATGCATTTATTAAGCAAGCTAAAAACATAGCCTTGTAGCTAAATGTTTTTAGCAGCTTTGGTGGCTACAGCTAATGGATTGCATTTGTTTAGTTAGCAATAAATGTGACTCACTTAGCTAACTATACTGAACTTGAACGACTTATCTCATTGTCTCTTATGTATTTGGGATGTTCAAATGGGCAGGCGAGCTAGCTGTAAATCCCATTCAGTTGTCAAAAAAACGTGGGGACAGATGCAGGCATTGGCAGCTGGCAGGCAGGCTCCAGCAGTATCAGTGCAATTCTGACTGCCAACATTTTTAGAGGGTTTTATCGTCCAAAATAGGGGATGGTCCAAAATAGTGGAGGGATGTCCAACGTATTTTTATTGGGCACAAGGGAGGGTCGTGCGTTTTTTCCCCCTGGTTTACATTTGCTCTTTTTCAGGTTTTACCATATCATTTCTGTGGTCCTCTGTAGCTCAGCTGGTAGAGCACGGCGCTTGTAACGCCAAGGTAGTGGGTTCGATCCCCGGGACCACCCGTACACAAAAAAAATTATGCACGCATGACTGTAAGTCGCTTTGGATAAAAGCGTCTGCTAAATGGCATATTATTATTATTATTTCTTCCATCCTAGCCAAATGTCCTCATCTGCTTGCATGCTCCTCCCCTATTTCAAGGTGTTTTGGTACTTCCCTTAAGCACTACGCTAAATACAGGGAAATTCTTGAGGGAAACCTGTTTCAGTCTTCCAGAGATTTGAGACTGGGACAGAGGTTCACCTTCCAGCAGGACAATAACCCTAAGCATACTGCTAAAGCAACACTCAAGTGGTTTAAAGGAAAACGTTTAAATGTCTTGGAATGGCCTAGTCAAAGACCAGACCTCAATCCAATTGAGAATCTGTGGTATGACTTAAAGATTGCTGTACACCAGCGGAACCCATCCAACTTGAAGGAGCTGGAGCAGTTTTGCCTTGAAGAATGGGCAAATATCCAAGTGGCTAGATGTGCCAAGCTTATAGAGACATACTCCAAGAGACTTGCAGCTGTAATTGCTGCAAAAGGTAGCTCTACAAAGTATTGACTTTGTGTTTGTTTCACCCCAAAAAAAATTTTGCATCTTCAAAGTGGTAGGCATGTTGTGTAAATCAAATGATACAAATTTCCCCAAAATCCATTTTAATTCCAGGTTTTAAGTCAACAAAATAGGAAAAATGCCAAGAGAGGTGAATACTTTTGCAAGCCACTGTAAATACTGTATTTGCAGGAAACCATTCAGGTGTATTGTGGCTTTTGCGACTGCTTTCACATTTTTCTAGCTGCCTATAAACACACAGTCCAGTTCAAAGTGAATGGCACAGGCCCGTATGGCAATGGTCTATTTGCATATAGGGCTACTGTAGATATCATTGGTTATGGCGTGCACCGGTTTGTGTAGACTGGACAAGACTTTACAAGCTTTTATTTACTGCAGTGTCTATTAATTGCCCAAACGCACAACCATTTTCCCACTCTTATTACTAGAATTTTCACAAATATTCTTTGAATGTATGAAAACCCCTTGAAGTATAAAAAATAATTTGATTAAAATGATTATTTGGCCTTACTGCTATTAGCCCATGCAAATGCACTGAATAACATATTAACTACATGGAACAGATAGTCCCCAAAAAAACTAATGGAAGTTTGTTCTGAAGTGTCTGTCCTATATCTGAGAGATATAAAAAAGATCAGGAAACATTAGTAAACATTATGTTTTTTACATGTATTTAACCCCTTATTTCTGGCACTAAACAGTCTCCATATATTTTTTCAACTGGTACCGGGGGACCTTCAGATGAGTCTTGAGGCCTGTGGGCATCCTAGAGCAAAACATGTATGTGTTCGTGATGGTCTCACCTTTCCACAGAGGGGTCATAATAGTTTGTACAGTGAGGGAAAAAAGTATTTGATCCCCTGCTGATTTTGTACGTTTGCCCACTGACAAAGACATGATCAGTCTATAATTTTAATGGTAGGTTTATTTGAACAGTGAGAGACAGAATAACAACAAAAAATCCAGAAAAACGCATGTCAAACATTTTATAAATTGATTTGCGTTTCAAATGAGGGAAATAAGTATTTGACCCCTCTGCAAAACATGACTTAGTACTTGGTGGCAAAACCCTTGTTGGCAATCACAGAGGTCAGACGTTTCTTGTAGTTGGCCACCAGGTTTGCACACATCTCAGGAGGGATTTTGTTCCACTCCTCTTTGCAGATCTTCTCCAAGTCATTAAGGTTTCGAGGCTGACGTTTGGCAACTCGAACCTTCAGCTCCCTCCACAGATTTTCTATGGGATTAAGGTCTGGAGACTGGCTAGGCCACTCCAGGACCTTAATGTGCACTCCTCTGTTGCCTTGGCCGTGTGTTTTGGGTCATTGTCATGCTGGAATACCCATCCACAACCCATTTTCAATGCTGGCTGAGGGAAGGAGGTTCTCACCCAAGATTTGACGGTATATGGCCCCGTCCATCGACCCTTTGATGCGGTGAAGTTGTCCTGTCCCCTTAGCAGAAACCCCCCCCCACAAAGCATCACTGTTTGAAGGTGGGGATGGTGTTCTTGGGGTCATAGGCAGCATTCCTCCTCCTCCAAACACGGCGAGTTGAGTTGATGCCAAAGAGCTCGATTCTGGTCTCATCTGACCACAACACTTTCACCCAGTTCTCCTCTGAATCATTCAGAAGTTCATTGGCAAACTTCAGACGGCCCTGTATATGTGCTTTCTTGAGCAGGGGGACCTTGCGGGCGCTGCAGGATTTCAGTCCTTCACGGCGTAGTGTGTTACCAATTGTTTTCTTGGTGACTATGGTCCCAGCTGCCTTGAGATCATTGACAAGATCCTCCCGTGTAGTTCTGGGCTGATTCCTCACCGTTCTCATGATCATTGCAACTCCACGAGGTGAGATCTTGCATGGAGCCCCAGGCCGAGGGAGATTGACAGTTATTTTGTGTTTCTTCCATTTGGGAATAATCGCACCAATTGTTGTCACCTTCTCACCAAGCTGCTTGGCGATGGTCTTGTAGCCCATTCCAGCCTTGTGTAGGTCTACAATATTGTCCCTGACATCCTTGGAGAGCTCTTTGGTCTTGGCCATGGTGGAGCGTTTGGAATCTGATTGATTGATTGCTTCTGTGGACAGGTGTCTTTTATACAGGTAACAAGCAGAGATTAGGAGCACTCCCTTTAAGAGTGTGCTCCTAATCTCAGCTTGTTACCTGTATAAAAGACACCTGGGAGCCAGAAATCTTTCTGATTGAGAGGGGGTCAAATACTTATTTCCCTCATTAAAATGCAAATCAATTTATAAAAAATGTTAAATGCGTTTTTCTGGATTTTGTTGTTGTTATTGTGTCTCTCACTGTTCAAATAAACCTACCATTAAAATTATAGACTGATCATTTCTTTGTCAGTGGGCAAACGTACAAAATCAGCAGGGGATCAAATACTTTTTTCCCCTCACTGTAGGCCAAACCGTACGGACGCTACAGACGATTCTGTGAGAAGACCGATTTTCGGGATGTCTCATGGTCTGACAACAATACTCTAGCTGTCACCTTTCACCGCAGATGCAGAAGTGCGACATAGGTGGATGCGGTGGATTGAGACGCATCCAAAGCAAAAACCCCCCAGATATGTCTAGCTTAAACTGACATATTTTTATGGGGATTGTTTTATTATGCTAACTAGATTTCCATGGGGGGGGGCAGACATCGACCTTAGGGGGTTAAGTAATTCCTCTCTACCCGTTTACCTCTAAGCAAAGTAGAATTTATGGTACGCAGCTTGCTAGCGAGCGTTATCTAGTTAATATCATTTGATTATTTTGAGAAATAATTTAATGATTTTGATGAAACGAGAACAAAAAAACACAAAAATCATGGGAATTACTACTGGTAATAATGTCACCTCCCATACTCTTGTGGAAAAGGCTAATCCAACTTACACTTAGCAACAATCCCACCTCCAATGTCACAAACAAAATCATTTGATCATGTAGAGCACCATACAAAAAGCCCATGGTAAATCTTATCGAAACAAGGACTACAACACTGGCTTTTTTTTTGGGAACTTGTCAGCTCAATTTTCCCCCCGTGTCATCGGTCTACAGAGTGTGCGACTCACCGAATTGATGTTGATGCTGGCAGTCGTCGCAATCTGGCTGACTGGGGAGGACTGGGTGGCTGTGGGGGCAGTGGTGGTGGCCAGGGGCAGGGTGATCAGCCTGATGCCCTGGGGCAGGGCTTGCTGCTGCAGGTCATTGAGCACTTGGGCCTGGGACTGCGCTGTCAGCTGGCTAAAGAAGGCGTACTGGGATAGCTGTTGCTCCAGAGTCAAGGCCTCCATCGCCACTGCCTGGTAACAATACAGGAAGGGAAGAAAAGCATGAACTTTACCTGACGAGAGGCCAAGATTTTGGGGTGAAACAACGAAAACAAGGTATCCAACACTGTTACGACAGGGTTACAGTAGCTGGCAAAATAACATAAGAGCGTTTGGTAACTTTAAACTGTAAATAATTTAAGCAAGCTAGCTAACTTGGCTAACTGGTGAAAACAATTAAATTATATCCAGTTAGTTAGCTACCGCACCGCTCAACACTGCCAAAACTGATAAGTTGGCTCAACTAATGCTTACATTCAGACATTTTACATATCGTCTTCAAGTGTATTATAAAACTGGATCAATATACACTACCAGTCAAAAGGTTGGACACACCTACTCATTCAAGGGTTTTTCTTTATTTTTACATTGTAGAATAATAGTGAAGATATCAAAACTATTAAATAACACATATGGAATCATGTAGTAACCAAACAAGTGTTATATTTGAAATTCTTCAAATAGGCACCCTTTGCCTTGATGACAGCTTTGCACACTCTTGGCATTCTCTCAACCAGCTTCATGAGGTAGTCACCTGGAATGCATTTCAATTAACAGGTGTGCCTTGTTAAAAGTTAATTTGTGGAATGTATTTCCTTCTTAATGCGTTTGAGCCAATCAGTTGTGTTGTGACAACGTGGGGGGGGGGGGGGTATACAGAAGATGGTCTTTTACCAAATAGGGCTAAGTCCATATTATGGCAAGAACAGCTCAAATAAACAAAGAGAAACAACAGTCCATCATTACTTTAAGACATGAAGGTCAGTCAATATGGAATATTTCAAGAACTTTGAAAGTTTCTTCAAGTGCAGTCGCAAAAACCATCAAGCGCTATCATGAAACTGGCTCTCATGAGGACCACCACAGGAATGGAAGACCCAGAGTTACCTCTGCTGCAGAGGATAAGTTCATTAGAGTTACCAGCCTCAGAAACTGCAGCCCAAATAAATGCTTCACTGAGTTCAAGTCACAGACACATCTCAAAATCAACTGTTCAGAAGGGACTGTGTGAATCAGGCCTTCATGGTCGAATTGCTGCAAAGAAACCACTACTGAAGGACACCAATAAGAAGACGAAGAGACCTGCTTGGGCCAAATTAGAGATTTTTGGTTCCAACCACCGTGTCTTTGTGAGACGCGGTGTGGGTGAACGGATGATCTACGCATGTGTAGTTCCCACCGTAAAGCATGGAGGTGGTGTTATGGTGTGGGGGTGCTTTGCAGGTGACACTGTCATTGATTTATTCAGAATTCAAGGCACACTTAACCAGCATGGCTACCACAGCATTCTGCAGCGATACGCCATCCCATCTGGTTTGGGCTTAGTGGGACTACGATTTGTTTTTCAACAGGACAATGACCCAACACACCTCCAGGCTGTGTAAGGGCTATTTACCAAGCAGGAGAGTGATGGTGTGCTGCATCAGATGACCTGTTCTCTACAATCCCCCGACCTCAATCCAATTGAGATGGTTTAGGATGAGTCGGACCGCAGAGTGAAGGAAAAGCTGCCAACAAGTGCTCAGCATATGTGGGAACTCCTTCAAGACTGTTTGAAAAGCATTCCAGGTGAAGCTGGTTGAGAGAATGCCAAGTGTGCAAAGCTGTCATAAAGGCAAAGGGTGGCTATTTGAAGAATCTCAAATATAAAATATATTTTAATTTGTTTAACACTTTTTTTGTTAGTACATGATTCCATGTGTTATAGAAATATTCTCAGTTCATGGACAGAACAGGAAACATTAGGGATTGGAGCCATGGGCAGAGGAAGGTTATTGTTTTCCATTTGAAAGTATCACACACTCGGAGCATTGTTTGTGATGTAATGCCTTCCTCTAGCAATTGAAAGCTCTAAATTACTCTTGAGGGATCTTGGCTAGCTGAGCCATTCCAGGTAACAAGGCCAAACTACACCTGGTAGGCATCGCTTGCTCACCTCACATAGGGATTCAGCCATGTATATAGGGCGGCAGGTAGCCTAGCAGTTAGAGCGTTGGTTCAGTTACCAAAAGAGTGCTAGTTCGAATCCCCTAGCCAACAAGGTGAAAGGCAGACCCTGGACGTGACCCCACTCTCTGAAGGGTGTCTCAGGGAAAGTTGGGATGTGCAAAAAACACATTTTCAATTCATTCATGAAATAGGACAAATATAAGCACCCACCAAATTATTATTATTATTATTATTATTATTATTATTATTATTATTATTATTATACACTGAACAAAAACATAAACGCAACATGTAAAGTGTTGGTCCCATGTTTCATGAGCTGAAATAAAATATCAAACATTTTCCATACGCACAAAAAGGTTATTTCGCTAAAATGTTGTGCACAAATTTGTTTACATCCCTGTTAGTGAGCATTTCTCATTTGCCAAGATAATCCATCCACCTGACAGGTGTGGCATATCAAGAAGCTGATTAAACAGCATGATCATTACACAGGTGCACCTTGTGCTGGGGACAATAAAAGGCCAGTCTAAAATGTGCAGTTTTGTCACACAACACCACAGATGTCTCAAGTTTTGAGGGAACGTGCAATTGGCATGCTGAATGCAGGAATGTCCACCAGAGCGGTTGCCAGAGAATTGAATGTTCATTTCTCTACCATAAGCTGCCTCCAACATCGTTTTAGAGAATTTGGCAGTATGTCCAACCGGCCTTACAACCGCAGACCACATGTACTTTATGGCGTCGTGTGGGCGAGCGGTTTGCTGATGTCAATGTTGTGAACAGAGTGCCCCATGGTGGCGGTGGGGTTATGGTATGGGCAGGCATAAACTACGGACAACAAACACAATTGCATTTTATCGATGGCAATTTGAATGCACAGAGATACCGTGATGAGATCCTGAAGCCCATTGTCGTGCCATTCATCCGCCGCCATCACCTCATGTTTCAGCATGATAATGCAAGGCCCCATTGTGCAAGGATCTGTACACAATTCCTGGAAGCTGAAAATGTCCCAGCTCTTCCATGGCCTGCATACTCACCAGACATGTCATCCATTGAACATGTTTGGGAGGCTCTGGATCGACAGTGTGTTCCAGTTCCCGGGCAATATCCAGCAACTTCGCACAGCCATTGAGAGGAGTGGGACAACATTCCACAGGCCACAATCAACAGCCTGATCAATTCTATGTGAAGGAGATGTGTCGCGCTGCATGATGCAAATGGTCACACCAGATACTGACTGGTTTTTTGATCCACGCCTTACCTTTCTTTAATGGTATCTGTGACGAACAGATGCATATCTGTATTCCCAGTCATGTGCAAACCATAGATTAGGGCCCAATTTATTTATTTGACTGATTTCCTACAACTCAGTCAAATCTTTGAAATTGTTCTATGTTTAGTTTATATTTTTTGTTCAGTATAAAATAGAAACACCACTACCAGTTCTCCTTTTGAAGTTTTAGGGTCGAGGTAAAATACATTTGTCTGCATAGCCGTTTAGCTAACTCCAGCACCTTTATCTCTCAGAATTGACCTTGTTGATTAAACAATATAATGAATCAAAATGTTACATCATGCTTTTGGCCCTTTAAAAACAGCCTTTAAAAACATCAAGGTAAAATCCCATTTTAGTTAGAGATTTACTGGAAGTGATATCCCTATGTTAAAAATTACTTGTTTACAATCCCTTTGTTAAAGTTCAATAATATCACTGCTGAATGCGACCATAGAAATAGCATCTCACCTGGATGTTGAGAGGGGGCGATAGGGTGGGGGAGAGCTGCTGCGGTGACTGCTGTGGGTTGGCGTTGAGGGTTAGGGGGACCAGGGTGGGCTGCCTGCGCTGGGCCGTCACAGTCATGGTAGGCTGAGATGTGTTCGGGATCCCTGCCAAGACAACAGGACAGGCATCAGTGGCTCTTCTCTGAAATACAGCAAAACTCCTTCTGGGCATTTCTGTGCAATCTAACATTTCTAGAGGGTTTTCACAACTACATTGTACAGATTTTCTAGTGACTTGTGCTGTATATGTTTATGATATGCATGCATCCACTAATATGCCAATCCCTAAGTAAGTAAGTACCAATCACTAAGTAATAAAGTACCTATCCATCTACCTATCTAGCTTGCATAAGCTTGACAAATGGCATTTCTGGCGTAACTTGACGCATAATCATTCTGTGAAATGTTTGCAGTTGTGAAAGGTTCATGTTCTACCTCAAAGATAATCTAGTCTGCATTTTAACTACAGATGCTCAAGGAGCCATAAATAAATAAGTGGAGCCATCCATATTCCTGCCAGCCATCTGTGCATGTTCTTTGAACAGCATCTTTCCAGAGAGACAGAGGGGTGGGAAACTGAGTCTAGTCAAGACATTCAAGGCACTCCAGTGTCAGTTTGATGCAATATTTTGCAGGGTAATGGGAAACACCTTGCAAAGACAATGTAGTTGTGTCACATGATTTTCATTGTACACCATGCAGATATTACATTAACAGGTTATTCTTCTTAGGCATGTGGATGATTGCCAACGTTAGATTTTTGGATGTTATGTCCCTTAAAACTGGCAAAGAATAAAAAATTGGGTTTCCGTGCTCAAACAATGGGAGAAACTGTGCTGCATGGAGTTCAGCAAGGTTTCGTACATAAACCACCAGTAAAATAGTGGATCACAAAATTTACTTTTGATACAGAACTTGCTGAAAAACACGTAGAGTATCCTTGGTTACATGATCAGAATTTCAAATATATAAAATTTGCCACATTCATTTTGCCATCAATGGCTTACCGTGGCTGGCAGCACTGATGCCTAGGAGGGTGAGGTTGGTATTCAGGTTGCCCGTGCTGTTGGAGGAGCTAAGGGAAGGAAATGCCAAAGTGTCGCCCGGGTCCAGCGGAGTGGGCAGCGGTGGGGGGAACTGGATGTTGGTGAGATCGGGCAGGGAGCCTCCCGTGTTCAGCGTGGCCGGTATCAATGACGTGTTCACTTCCTGATCGGGTGATGGAAATATACTATAGGGGAGAAAGAACAGGGGTACACATTACCTAAAACAGCACATGGCAAAGGTAATCCATTCTGAATTATTTTTGTTTGTTTTTATGAATTATGACATTTTTTGTTGCTTTGTGTGGAAATGACAGTTGTTAGCTATCTGGTGTCATAGGTCCTCTCTCACACGGAGACATCCTTGAACATATTAATTCTAAGCATGGCCTGGATAGGGATCTTTCTCACACAGCACCTTTCTACAGTGTACGGTCTTGCCGGAGTACCATATTTAGATTTATGAATGATAGGATGTGCAGTATGTACTCACTTAATCCCAGGGACTTCACAAGACTTGAGTCTTGATGAGTCATTCTAAAAGGGAAAGCACACTCAACATAAAAAAAATACCCAAAATTGTGAGCAAGCACTGATGTAACAACTAGGCTACATGTTCCCTCCTCTACCTTTTTGTTATCCCACTGTGTATCCTTGTCTGCGTGTGATTCAGACTCCTCAGTCCCAGGAACTGTAAGCAGCAGCACTGAATGATGAAAGAGTAAAAGAAAACCAGGTAATGACCAACAATTGATGGTACTAATGTAATCAACTCACATTGCAGTATTTTCAGAGTAGTATTTTTCCTGTAGTGAAATGAAGTTGAGTAATGGTTTTTAGATACTGTTAAAACATCAGTTAGACCTCCATGACAGGTAGCTAGATGCTTCCCATTTTCAGAAGACCACACAATTGTGTGTCATCACAATATTATTGATCCGTTTTCCGTGCCATCTTGAGTGATTTCAATTACAAATACAACTCAAAATACTATACCAATATTTCCCTCATCAGAAAGCAGTGGTTGGTTGTACACATAATGTAATAGATTCACAGAAAGAGAATAGTTACCCCAACATGGACAAAACCTGTTAGCTAGTGGAACCTGTGATGGTAGTTAAGGATTTTGGGTACTGGCCAGTCGGGATAGTAGAGCACAAATTTTACTAGCCATGGTCCGAAATCTGTGCCATGCGAAATTTGAAGACATTTCACCAGCTGGCGGCCTAGTTGGGCACATTTTCTACTAGCCCGGTCTAAAAAGTACTAACCACGGGCTAGCGAGCTAGCTTAATTTCCATCCCTGAGCGGAACCCAACCCATTCATGTCATAAATACATTGGTACAGGCCTGAATAAATAGAAGTTGTTCCGTGTCCATGTTTCCTGGATCCTCCATTACCTTGTTTAGGCTGGAGCTCTTGTGAACCCCCTGCAAATGAGTCCTGGGGCACAGGGTTCGTGGTGCTCTGGTGTAGGGCTGAGTCGGAGTTTGTCCTGTGGCATTAGAATGAAGAGAGATCAACAACATCTCTCTGTGGCCCCTATTCCCCAAACACATTTGTGGCATGCTATTTTTCACACTGGGTCAAATAAATTTCAGTTGTTAAATTGAGCATGCAATTTCTAATAAAAAAAGGCTATATAGATGGGCATCGCATCTCCTGTGCTCTTCCTGAAGGTAGATGAAATTGCTCCCAACATAGGTTTTTTCAGAATATGAAGTCGTCATTAATGGCCTACCTCCTCCAACTGGTATCCGGTGGGGGTGAGAGATAAACTGAGCCATAGGGGCAGCTGTCAATGTGAAGCTCAGTTAAGGACCAAAAAATAGGGGTGAAATATAAAATGTAAATCTATATTCAAAATATCAGTATTCATCGACTGAAGTGCAAAGTCTAACTGTAAGAATTATCCAACAATGACAACATGTAAAGACCACTGTGTTCTACTCTAAAATAATCTGAGTCAGAGAGGTAGAAGCAAAGCGAGAGGGTTTACTCCGCCCAAAATCTGTCCATGAAAATAAGACCACGACGTGAGGAATATTTGTATGGAGGTCAAAGAGTGTCAAATTTGGTCAACAAAAAATGCAATTGCTAATTTGCTAAGTAAGGCCTATTTGATCGAATATAAGTTTTGTAATGGTTAGGTTGTGACGAATGCACTTTATATTGGATTTGTCCCTGTTGTTCATATGAATATCTGCCCTTTCATGGGCTAGAATGGTCCCACCTGATCTCGCCTTCCTTACATCTTTGAGGACATGTATTTTCATTGTTAGAGCAGTCACTCAACTATCTTGTCAATATAATAGATAATCTTTGGCTGAGTGCAGAAGAAGGATATCTGGCGGCCATGTTTGTCCACAGAGAGGGGCCGGCGGTGCGGGGAGGGGATGCGGTTCCGATCGCGGTAAACGCGGTCCACCAGCCCGTGATGCCTGGTCGACCGACTGCTGTCCAAGGTGGAATTCTGGACAGGAAACGCAAAATTAACCATATGAGAAAAATGGGTCATTTGAAGCATACACACACAAAAAAAAATACAATTTAAAATGTCTTTGTATAATATGGTGCAAATGTATTCATTTCAAATGGGTGAAGCTATGGGTCCTCATACTCATTCTCAAGTTAGCAAACATATTTCAAAAATGGAATGCCATGATATAGAAAGCAATGACATACAGTGAGGGAAAAAAGTATTTGATCCCCTGCTGATTTTGTACGTTTGCCCACTGACAAAGAAATGATCAGTCTATAATTTTAATGGTAGGTTTATTTGAACAGTGAGAGACAGAATAACAACAACAAAAAATCCAGAAAAACACATGTCAAAAATGTTATAAATTGATTTGCATTTTAATGAGGGAAATAAGTATTTGACCCCCTCTCAATCAGAAAGATTTCTGCTCCCAGATGTCTTTTATACAGGTAACGAGCTGAGATTAGGAGCACACTCTTAAAGGGAGTGCTCCTAATCTCAGTTTGTCACCTGTATAAAAGACACCTGTCCACAGAAGCAATCAATCAGATTAAAAACTCTCCACCATGGCCAAGACCAAAGAGCTCTCCAAGAATGTCAGGCACAAGATTGTAGACCTACACAAGGCTGGAATGGGCTACAAGACCATCGCCAAGCAGCTTGGTGAGAAGGTGACAACAGTTGGTGCGATTATTCGCAAATGGAAGAAACACAAAATAACTGTCAATCTCCCTCGGCCTGGGGCTCCATGCAAGATCTCACCTCGTGGAGTTGCAATGATCATGAGAACGGTGAGGAATCAGCCCAGAACTACACGGGAGGATCTTGTCAATGATCTCAAGGTAGCTGGGACCATAGTCACCAAGAAAACAATTGGTAACATACTACGCCGTGAAGGACTGAAATCCTGCAGCACCCGCAAGGTCCCCCTGCTCAAGAAAGCACATATACAGGCCCGTCTGAAGTTTGCCAATGAACATCTGAATGATTCAGAGGAGAACTGGGTGAAAGTGTTGTGGTCAGATGAGACCAAAATAGGGCTCTTTGGCATCAACTCAATTCGCCGTGTTTGGAGGAGGAGGAATGCTGCCTATGACCCCAAGAACACCATCCCCACCGTCAAACATGGAGGTGGAAACATTATGCTTTGGGGGTGTTTTTCTGCTAAGGGGACAGGACAACTTCACCGCATCAAAGGGACGATGGACGGGGCCATGTACCGTCAAATCTTGGGTGAGAACCTCCTTCCATCAGCCAGGGCATTGAAAATGGGTCGTGGATGGGTATTCCAGCATGACAATGACCCAAAACACACGGCCAAGGCAACAAAGGAGTGGCTCAAGAAGAAGCACATTAAGGTCCTGGAGTGGCCTAGCCAGTCTCCAGACCTTAATCCCATAGAAAATCTGTGGAGGGAGCTGAAGGTTTGAGTTGCCAAACATCAGCTTCGAAACCTTAATGACTAGGAGAAGATCTGCAAAGAGGAGTGGGACAAAATCCCTCCTGAGATGTGTGCAAACCTGGTGGCCAACTACAAGAAACGTCTGACCTCTGATTGCCAACAAGGGTTTTTCTGGATTTTTGTTGTTGTTATTCTGTCTCTCACTGTTCAAATAAACCTTCCATTAAAATTATAGACTGATCATGTCTTTGTCAGTGGGCAAACGTACAAAATCAGCAGGGGATCAAATACTTTTTTCCCTCACTGTAGGCTACTTGTATTTGTCTTTTTAAAAAGGCCCAGTGCAGTTAAAAATGTGATTTTCCTGTTTAAAAATAAATAAATAAATACACTGAACAAAAATATAAAAATGCAAAATGCAACAATTAAGATATTTTACTGAGATACAGTTCATACAAGGAAATCAGTCAATTTAAATTAATTAATTAGGCCATAATCTATGGATCTCACTTTTTTTTGTCATTTGACTGAGAATACAGATATGCATCTGTTGGTCACAGCTACATTTAAAAAAAGGTAGAGGGCGTGGATCAGAAAACCAGTCAGTATCTGGTGTGACCACCATTTGCCTCATGCAGCGCAACACATCTCCTTCGCATATAGTTGATCAGGCAGTTGATTGTGGCCTGTGGAATGTTGTCCCACTCCTCTTCAATGGCTGTGCAAAGTCGGTTACGACGCCGAACTACAGTCAGGTCAAGACCCTGGTGAGGACGACGAGCACGCAGATGAGCTTCCCTGAGACGTTTCTGACAGTTTGTGCAGAAATTCTTCAGTTGTGCAAACCCACAGTTTCATCAGCTGTCGGGGTGGCTAGTCTCAGACAATCCCACAGGTGAAGAAGCTGGATGTGGAGGTCCTGGGCTGGCGTGGTTACACGTGGTCTACGGTTGTGAGGCCGTTTGGATGTACTGCCAAATTCTTTAAAACCATGTTGGAAGCGGCTTATGGTAGCAGAATTAGCATTCTGGCAACAGCTCTGGTGGACATTCCTGCAGCCAGCATGCCAATTGCACACTTCCTCAAAACTTGAGACATCTGTGGAATTGTGTTGTCTGACAAAACTGCACATTTTAGAGTGGCCTTTTATTGTCCCCAGCACAAGGTGCACCTGTGTAATGATCATGCTGTTTAATCAGCTTCTTGATATGCCACACCTGTCAGGTGGATGGATTATCTTGGCAAAGGAGAAATGCTCACTAACAGGGATGTAAACAAATGTGTGCACAAAACTTTAGCGAAATAAGCTTTTTGTACTATGGAAAATTGCTGGGATCTTTTATTTCGGCTCACTTAACTCAACATGTATATATTTTGGTTCAGTATATTTCTACACTATGAGGTTGGAAAAACACTGTGAAGATTATAATAATACCCTTTTAGTGTAAGAGCTGTTTGAAAAGACCGCCGGCAATCTCTGCCTGTTTTGGTGGGATGGAGTTTTGGCCTGCCTGGTGATATCACCAGGCGGTAAATTTGTTAATAGACCAATAAGAAAGAGAGTTCCAAACCTCTCCGCAAATAACAGCTAGTTTTCCCCTCTCTACTCAGACCATTCCCAGACAGTAATATAAAACGATCATAGAGTAAGGTACTTAATTGTTACCCAGAAATTATTTGATATGGAGATAAAAACTACTGCATTGGACCTTTAAACATTCAAGATGGGGTGAGGGTGTCTGATGCTCAATGTTAGCTTCCTTCTGAGACTGTTGGTTTCAGAAAATGCAGTGGATCGGTACCGATACGCCAGGGCAAGTCTTCAAAATTGTAAAATATTAAAGAAGTGTCTTGAATTGGATTCCTGTTAACAACACAAGGTAACGTGAGGGTAAAACAGCCTATCATGGAAGCTTTCAAAGATTACATTTCCCTCAGGTGAGAATTAATTGTTTTATGATGCAAATCAAAAAATGTTTTTACCAACTGATAGAGAAGCTGAGAGCTCACCTGAAAAGGCAGGTCAATGTTGCTATTTCCAATCTGATTGACATTGGGCAGTGAGCCTCCATAGCACTGTCCACGATTCTGCCCTAGTTGCAAATACTGGGTCTTCTGTAACTGCAACTGTGCAAAGTAAAATTGCATGAAAGCATGAATGAATGATTAAACTGATAGGCCTACATGAAAAATGACATACCAAAATGGTTGATATAAAAAGTTAGTGCTAAAGATAGAATGGACCACATCTAAAAAAAAGAAGAAAAAAGGACAGATGAGATAAGACATACAGTACCAGTCAAAAGTTGACACACCTACTCTTTCAAAGGTTTGTCTTATTTGTACTATTTTCTACATTGTAGAATAATAGTGAAGACATCAAAACTATTAAATAACACATATGGAATCATGTAGTAACCAAAAAAGTGTTACATCTATTTTGATTTATATTTGAGATTCTTCAAATAGCCACCATTTGCCTTGATGACAGCTTTGCACACTCTTGGCATTCTCTCAACCAGCTTCACCTGGAATGCTTTTCCAACAGTCTTGAAGGAGTTCCCACATATGCTGAGCACTTGTTGGCTGCTTTTCCTTCACTCTGCGGTCCAACTTATCCCAAACCACCTCAATTGGATTGAGGTCGGGGGATTGTAGAGAACAGGTCATCTGATGCAGCACTCCATCATTCTCCTTCTTGGTAAAATAGCCCTTACACAGCCTGGAGGTGTGTTGGGTCATTGTCCTGTTGAAAAACAAATGATAGTCCCACTAAGCCCAAACCAGATAGGATGGCGTATCGCTGCAGAATGCTGTTGTAGCCATGCTGGTTAAGTGTGCCTTGAATTCTAAATAAATCAATGAGTGTCACCAGCAAAGCACCCCCACACCACAACACCTCCTCCTTCATGCTTTACGGTGGGAACTACACATGCAGAGATCATCCGTTCACCCACATCTAGTCTCACAAAGGCACGGCGGTTGGAACCAAATGTCCAATTTGGACTCCAGACCAAAGGACACATTTCCACCGATCTGATGTCCATTGCTCATGTTTCTTGGCCCAGGCAGGTCTCTTCTTTTTATTGGTGTTCTTTAGTAGTGGTTTCTTTGCAGCAATTCGACCATGAAGGCCTGATTCACTGTCTCCTCTGAACAGTTGATGTTGAGATGTGTCTGTTACCTGAACTCTGTGAAGCATTTCATTTGGGCTGCAATTTCTGAGGCTGGTAACTCTAATGAACTTATCCTCTGCAGCAGAGGTAACTCTGGGTCTTCCATTCCTGTGGCGGTCCTCATGAGAGCCAGTTTCATCATAGCGCTTGATGGTTTTTGCAACTGAAATGTTCCGTATTGACTGACCTTCATGTCTTAAAGTAATGATAGACTGTCGTTTCTCTTTGCTTATTTGAGCTGTTCTTACCATAATATGGACTTGGTCTTTTACCAAATAGGGCTATCTTCTGTATATCCCCCCTACCTTGTCACAACACAACTGATTGGCTCAAATGCATTAAGGAGGAAATAAATTCCACAAATTAACTTTTAAGAAGCCACACCTGTTAATTGAAATGCGTTCCAGGTGACTACCTCATGAAGCTGGTTGAGAAAATGGCAAGATTGTGCAAAGCTGTCATCAAGGCAAAGGGTGGCTATTTGAAGAATCTCAAATATAAAATCTATTTTGATTTAACACTTTTTTGGTTACTACATGATTCCATATGTGTTATTTCATAGTTTTGATGTCTTCACTATTATTCTACAATGTAGTAATATTTTTTTTTAGAAAAACCCTTGAATGAGTAGGTGTGTCCAAACTTTTGACTGGTATACCTCAATCCAGGGATGAATTCCAAAAAAAACTAGCAGTCGTTCAATCGTCTCGGTGTAACAGTTGGGATAATGGGACAATTCGGAGTACAACGTATTTCTTATATCTGGATTAAGGTACGTTTTCGAAGCCATATCTCGTGCCGGCGCCGCAGTGTCTTAATTTAAAGGGATACTTCAGGATTTTGGCAATGAAGCCCTTTATCTACTTCCCCAGAGTTTTTATATCTCTGCGTGCAGTTTGAAGTAAGTTGCTAACTAATGTAAGCGCAATTGCTAACTAACGTAAGTGCAATGATTTGAAGTCTATGGTAACTGCTAGCATGCTAGTCGGGGGCACTGTGAGAGTTATTTAAGATACTCTTCAAAGAGGTAGGGTTTCAGATGTTGTCAAAAGATGGGCAGGTACTCCGCTGCCTAGACTTTAAGGGGAAGCTTGTTGCACCATTGGGGTGCCAGGACTGAGAAGAGCTTTGACTGGGCTGAGCGGGAGCTGCCCTCCCATAGAGCTGGGAGGGCCAAGAGACCAGAGGGGGTGGAACAGAGTGCTCGGGTTGGGATGTACACTACCAGTCAAAGGTTTTAGAACACCTACTCATTCAAGGATTTTTCTTTATTTTTACTATTTTCTACATTGTAGAACTATAGTGAAGACATCAAAGCTATGAAATAACACATATGGAATCATGTAGTAACCAAAAAAGTGTTAAACAAGTCAAAAATATATTTTATATTTGAGATTCTTCAAATAGCCACCCTTTGCCTTGATGACAGCTTTGCACACTCTTGCCATTCTCTCAACCAGCTTCATGAGGTAGTCACCTGAAATGCATTTCAATTAACAGGTGTGCCTTCTTAAAAGTTAATTTGGTGAATTTCTTTCCTTCTTAATGCGTTTGAGCCAATGAGTTGAGTTGTGACAAGGTAGGGGGGTATAAAGAAAATAGACGTATTTGGTAAAAGACCAAGTCCATATTATGGCAAGAACAGCTCAAATAAACAAAGAGAAACAACAGTCCATCATTACTTTAAGACATATAGGTCAGTCAAACCAGAACATTTCAAGAACTTTTAAAGTTTCAAGTGCAGTCGCGAAAACAATCAAGCGTTATGATGAAACTGGCTCTCATGAGGACCGCCACAGGAATGAAAGACCCAGAGTTAGCTCTGCTGCAGAGGATAAGTTCATTAGAGTTACCAGCCTCAGAAATGGCAGCCCAAATAAATGCTTCACAGAGTTCAAGTAACAGACACATCAACTCCAACTGTTCAGAGGAGACTGTGAATCAGACCTTCATGGTCGAATTTCTGCAAAGAAAAACACTACTAAAGGACACCAATAAGAAGAAGAGACTTGCTTGGGCCAAGAAACACGAGCAATAGACATCAGACCGGTGGAAACGTGTCCTTTGGTCTGGAGTCCAAATTGGAGATTTTTGGTTCCAACCGCTGTGTCTTTGTGAGATGCTGTGTGGGTGAACAGATGATCTCCTCATGTGTATTTCCCACCGTAAAGCATTGAGGAGGAGGTGTTACGGTGTAGGGGAGCTGTCTGTGATTTACTTAGAATTCAAGGCACACTTAACCAGCATAGCTACCACAGGATTCTGCAGCGATACGCCGTCCCATCTGGTTTGGGCTTAGTGGGACTATCATTTGTTTTTCAACAGGACAATGACCCAACACACCTCCAGGCTGTGTAAGGGCTATTTTCCCATGAAGGAGAGTGATGGTGTGCTTCATCAGATGACCTGGCCTCCACAATCACCCGACCTCAACCAAATTGAGATAGTTTTGGATGAGTCGGACGGCAGAGTGAATGAAAACCAGCCAACAAGTGCTCAGCATATGTGGGAACGCCTTCAAGACTGTTGGAAAAGCATTCCAGGTGAAGCTGGTTGAGAGAATGCCAAGAGTGTGCAAAGCTGTCATCAAGGCAAATGGTGGCTATTTGAATATAAATCAAATCAAATATAAATCAAAATAGATTTAACACTTTTTTGGTTACTACATGATTCCATATGTGTTATTTAATAGTTTTGATGTCTTCACTATTATTCTACAAATGTAGAAAATAGTAAAAATAAAGAAAAACCCTTGAATGAGTAGATGTTCTAAAACCTTTGACCGGTAGTGTAGGGTTTGAGCATAGCTTGAAGGTATTTGTATTTATTAAGGTTCCCCATTAGCTGCTGCCAAGGCAGCAGCTACTCTTCCTGGGGTCCTGCAACATTACGGCAGTTATATACAATTTAAAATATTACATGACATTATATTTCATAACACTTTACCCAATACATTTAGTGTGTTCCCTCAGGCCACTACTCCACTATCACATATTTACAATACAACATCCATGTGTACGTGTGTGTAGAGTGAGTATCTATATGTATGTGTGTATGTGCCTGTGTGTGTGTGTGTGTGTCTCTTCACAGTCCCCGCTGGTTTGAATCTGATTCTACTGCTTGCATCAGTTACCTGATGTGGAAGAGAGTTCCATGTAGTCATGGCTCTATGTTGTACTGTGTGCCTCCCATAGTCCGTTCTTGGACTGTGAAGAGACCTCTGGTGGCATGTCTTGTGGGGTATGCACGGGTGTCCGATACTCCGATACATGCTGTGTGCCATTATTCCAAACAGACAGCTCGGTACATTCAGCTCGTCGACACCTCTCACAAAAACAAGCACTGATGAAGTCAATCTCTCTTCCACTCTGAGCCAGGAGAGACTGACATGCATGTCATCAATGTTAGCTCTCCGTGTACTTTTAAGGGCCAGCCGTGCTGCCCTGTTCTGAGCCAATTGCAATTTTCCCAAGTCCCTCTTTGTGGCACCTGACCACACTACTGAACAGTAGTCTGGGTGAGACAAAACTAGGACCTGTAGGACCTGCCTTGTTGATAGTGTTGTTAAGAAGGCAGAGCAGCGCTTTATTATGGATACTTCTCCCCATCTTAGCTACTGTTGTATCAATATGCTTTGACCATGACAGTCTACAGGGTTACTCCAAGCAATTTAGTCACCTCAACTTGCTCAATTTCAACATTATTCATTACGAGATGTAGTAGACGTTTAGGGTTTAGTGAATGATTTGACCCAAATACAATGCTTTTAGTTTTGGAAATATTCAGGACTAACTTATTCCTTGCCACCCATTCCGAAACTAACTGCAACTTTGTTAAGTGTTGCAGTTATTTCCGTTGCTGTAGTAGCTGACGCGTATAGTGTTCAGTCATCCGCATACATAGACACACTGGCTTTACTTAAAGCCAGTGGCATGTCGTTAGTAAAGATGGAAAAAA